TGCTATGCTGTTTTCAAGGAGCTCTGGTGGCATACTGCCTAAGGCATCTGACTGCTAACCAGAAGGCTGGCAGTTCAAACCCACCAGCTGCTCTGCGGAAAGAAAGACTAGACGATCTACTTCCGTAAAGATTTACAGCCTCAGAAACCCAATGGGGGTTGCTGTGAGTTGGAATCAAGTCGATGGCAGTGAGTGAGTTTGGTTTGAGTTTTAGGCTGTTTCCAAGGAGCCCTGGTGGGGCCACGGTGAATCACTCAGCTGCTAACCAAAAGATCAGAAGTTCCAACCCAGCAACATACCACCAGTGGCTCCGCAGGCGAAAAGACCACTATAGATTGTTGTTGCTGTTGTATGTTGATTCTGACTCACGGTGACCCTGTAAAATGGAGAACTGCCCCATAGGGTTTCTGAGGCTGTAATCTTTACAGGAGCAGACTGCTGAGGAAGCCCTATGGGGAAGTTCTATTCTGCCGCTGGAGGTTGCTATGAGTTGGAATGGACTGAGTGGAATACGACATGCCGTTTCCTGCCTCTGTGCCTTTGCACATATTGCTCCTTCTGCCTACAATGCCTTCCTGTTCCCTTTGTCATTTAGCTGAATCCAACTTCGCTCCACCATGAAGCCCTCCCCAGCCCCACTCAGGCAAGGATGAGTTGGGCACCCTCCCCTCACTGGAGCACTTCATCTCTGGACATTAATTGTTATCCTTTCTCCCTTGCCAACCTCCCTGAGGAGATCACTAATTAAAGGGAGAAGAGATTACTTTGGAACCCCTAGGTAGTACAAACAGTTACAAAGTTCGGCTGCTAACCAAAAGGTTACAGGTTCGAGTCCACTCGAGATCTCAGAAAGAAGTCCTGGCAATCTACACAGTTCTACTCTGACACACGGGGTCCCCGTGAGTTGACTGGACAGCAACTGGGTAACTGGTGAGAGGTGGTAAGACTAAGGGTCCTTTTCTGGGGCTTGCTCCATAGTGTCTCACATTCTCTGGAGGAGTGGGAAGGCCAATAGTACACATGGCAGCCCCTCTCTGCTCTCACCTCGTGTGTCTGTGGATTCTCAACGATGCAGCCATAGTTGAGGGACTGTGTCCTGTTAGCCTGAAAGACAGACACCCCAGAGACAGTGACCCGCCTGCTCCAAGACAGCGAGACCTGTCTTCTCTTTGTCCTGTCACCTCCAGCACCTGGCACACAGCTCCCACTGACAGGCCTTCAGCAAGGGTGAGAAATGACAGCAGCCCTCCCCCTCCCTACACAGAACAGCCAAAGGGCTCGAGATTGCCAGAGACCTCCATTACTGCTGGGGTTTCCAGCAGATCTCCAACTCCTGTGGCTGCCCCTACCTCCCTGACACTCAACATGCCAGGAACCTCTCTGGATCACTCTCCCGCCCCTCCCACACACACCCTCCAGCCCTCCCAGCCACCTCACCACCTCACCGTGGTGCCTAGCAGTAAGAAAGGGTGAGGCTGGCGTCTGTGTGCATCCAACATAGCGCTCAAGGGGAAGTCTGAGCAGACGTCAGCGTTGAGCACGAAGAAGGCCTCTGGGCTTCCAGCTAGGATCTGGTCCCGGAAATGGTAGAGACCACCCCCTGTGCCCAGGGGGGTAAATTCCTGCAGGTACCTGTCCCCAGGGACCCCAGGCCAACTCAGTGCAATCAGAGGAAACAGATGCCATGAGCCTGGTCACCTGACCCTGCTTCCAGGGGGACTCCTGCCCAAGCCCCTTCAAAACCCCCTGCTATCAAGTCAGATCATAGCGACCCCTCCTTGGGTTTCCGAGGTGGTATCCCTACAGAAGTATATTGCCCAATCTTCCTTCCAAGGAGTGGTTGGTGGGTTTGAACCGCCAGCCTTCTGGTTAGCAGTCATATGCCTTAGGCGCTATGCTACCCAAGCCCCTTAGGAAATTCAATATATTCAGGCACCCAGAGATGCCCAAACAGAAATCCTTCTAGTGAATGAGGGTGAACTCTGAGAAATGCCGGCTCAACCTACTGGAAAGAACCTAGGACCCTCCCTCCTGATATGCACGTGTGCACAGACACCTGATCGGAAGGTTAAACTCTTGCTGAGCAGCTTCTAGAAAGCGGGTAAGGGACTCATCAGGTTGGTAGAAGCCAATAAGCAGAATCTCTTGCATTCCAGGAACCTGAGGGTGAGGAAAGAGGTTGGGAGGAAAAACATTTGCTAAGAAGGGCTACTGGGCAAATCTTTGGCATTGGCCCAGAAGTCCAGAAACCACATTTTCAGTGTCAGCTGTGGGGACCCAGACACTCAACAACTCTGGCCCGTTTTCTTCTCTTGTTATCTCCCCCTCCCTCCCCCACCCGAATTGGGTTTACACTGGAAAGATTATGCCCACCAAGGTACATTAAAGAATATCCCATTCAGCTGAACATTGACATCCAGTAGATACACTACTTGGAGTGATCAATCATGGGAGAACAGAAGGGCAGTGTTTGCACAGGAAGACAGCTGCTGCGGGGGGGTGGGGGTTAATGCATGGGAGGGAAGGACACAGGGAAGGAATAACTACTAGGAGGATGTGGGAAGAGAGCTGTTACATTGTATGGAATTGCAGTCAATCTCATGAGACAAAAATGTATGTGAACTGCTGTATGGAAAATGAATTTGCTCTGTAAACTTTCACCCAAATCACAATAAAATTTAAAAAAAAATGCCATTCATTGTGTTTCATTTTTATTAGGTGTCAATTTGAGCTCTAGGTCAGCATGAGGAAAGGGCTACCACTTACCACCAAATGCCTGGCAACTAAAACTAAGTTACAGAAAGGCTGAGACAATTGCTCAAGGCATGCTTGCCAGTCCCAAATACCAAAAGCAATAAAGAAATGAGCTCTACAGTGAGTTCTCTGTTTTGGTATCTTTAAGGCTATGGCTTTAGAATGTCCCTAAGACAATCTAAGAAGTGAGAATGGCCAGACTGTGTCTCACCTACTTTGGTCATGTTGTCAGAAGGGACCATTCCCTGGAGAAGGAGGGAGAGGGGTACCTATGGGGTTACCTGGGCACAGGCCTCTATGTGGTGCTGGATCATAGGAACCCCTGCCACGGGAAACAGTGGTTTGGGCACCTCAAAAGACAAAGGCCTGAAGCGAGTCCCTGAGAGAGGAGAAAGGAGGACACTTCAGTTTCCTGTCTCCATCTGCCCTGCCCTCACCAGACCACACCTGAACCAACCACTCCAGTCCACCCCCACCCCCACCCCCAGCATCTACCATCCCTGATTCCTCACCCTTTTGGGGGCCTCCAATCAGGATCACAGCTTTGAGCATGATGGTGACTGCCACCTAAACCTCAAATTCCAAAAGGGAAATCTGACTCAGACCTCATAGCCCACAACCCAAATGACAACACTTAGCCCTCTCCCAGGGCAGTACACTCAAAGTTCACCTCCCTGAACAGACACCTCAGAAATCCCACACATCTCAAATACTAAGATTCTAGTTGACCCCAAACCTCATAGTGATGCCTCCCAAAACACACCCACAATTTGAATCCCGGAAGACTTCCTTCAGGCCATGAACAAATTTAGCAAACTCAGAAACTCAGCACAGGCACCATCCTCAGACCTCAAACCTCAGAAACACTAAGCCTCAAACACACTGAGGGCCCAATCTTTGCATCCCCATTCTAGATGTTAACCCCTGAATCCCAGAAATAAACCCCGAATACTGAACCTCAAGCCCTGAGTAAGCCCTAGATATTTAATTCAACCCTAAGAGAAAAACACGATTATTGAACACTGATCTGCATCTAATGGACCCCAAGTTCTAGGTAAACATCTCTAGATGATGTATCCTGAATCTTAAAACTGACTTCCAGGTGATGAACCCCAAATCAAAGAGACAAGATCTCTGGAATCCCAAACACTTAACCTACCAAGCCCCCAAGTCCCAATACTGACGACTGGCGCTGAGCATCTGGATTTCCAGGGTTGCCTGCCGACCCTCTGAACCCCAAAACTCTGTTCAATAAACCCTAGCCCCGCTTAGTCAAGTGCCGTGGGATCAACACTGGTGCAGACGTTCAGAGAGCCGTTTGGAGGCTCCGAGACCATCCTCCCCCTAGGGGCAGTCCCCCACCCCTCATCCATTTCGCCACCCGACCACGGGCTCTCTTTACCACCAGCACCCTTTACTCCGGGTCTGCCGCTTGATTACGGCTAGCTCCTTCCGCGCACGTGTCTTCTCGCAAGTCGCGAGAACGTCTTCGCAGGGTCTGCCGGGAATTGTAGGTCTTAAGCGTCTCTCTGCCCAGACACACTCCTCGCCCGGTTCTAACTCTATTAGAGGAGTAAGGTGGGACTTCTGGAAGGAAGCGGGGCATGGCCAAGGGATTCAAGAGAAGGTTCCAAATAGACTAGAGTTGGACTGGGACCTAAGGTTAAGTTGTTGTTGTTGTTGTTATGTGCCGTCGAGTCGGCCCCGACTCATAGCGACCCCTCCTTGGGTTTCCGAGGCAGTATCACTACGGAAGTAGGATTGCCCAACCTTCCTTCCGAGGAGTGGCTGGTGGTTTGAACCGCCAGCCTTCTGGTTAGCAGTCAAGGGCTTTAGCCACTATGCTACCAGAGCTCCTCAGAGGAGCCTGAAAAGGCCAGAAACCGGCGCTGGGACAGTAGCCAAAGTAGAGAACTAGATCCCAGGGAAAAGCAGAACTGGCGCTGAGAGGGGGTGTGGCCAGAGCGCCAACGGCCACGAGAAGGTGGAGCTGGAAGGACACAAAAGACGAGAAAGCGCAATCGCCGGCTCCAAGGCAGGTGGCAGCGGGAGGTGAAGGCGCGTCAGACCTTGGAGAGAGCCTGTCTCCCGTGTACTGTCAAACCAAGCACTGGGGAAGGCACTTTCCAAACTGCCTCTGACTCCAGCATTCCGTGACCTTGGTGAGTGGGTCTGGAATAATTGTGGGTGCAGGTGTACGGTCTGGACAGAGGGAATGGCGACGCTAAAGAACAGACCCGACGAGGGGGTCGCACAGAGCAGCTTTATTAGGACGGAGGAGGGCCGTGGGTCCCACTCGCCCCCGCGCTTGGAGCTAGCGCGAGGTCCGCGGGCCCGTTCACACCACGTCCACGCGAGCGAAGCTCTGGTCCATGCCTAGGCTGTTCTCGACGAACACCTCGTATTTGCCGCTGTCTTCAGGCGTGGCCCGGCGGATGGTCAGCGTCGTGGTGGTGCTGCCGATCTCGAAGAACACCCTGCGGGCAGGGCGGGGCTTCGGATCGGTGTCCTGGAGCTCCGGGCCTGGCTCTTAGCGCGCCGTGTTCTTTGCTTCCTGTCCCTCGCTCCCGTCCCACTCCCGCAGGCCCGCTGGGCCCAGGCCCGCTCGGGCTCCAGCCCCAGCCCCGGTCGCAGTTCCCGCCCTTGCCTGTCATCCTCCTCGATGTCCGTCCCATCCTTGGTCCAGCCCACGTCGGGCGCAGGCTCGCCCAGGATCTCCGCAGTCAGCGTCACCGTGGTGCCTTTGCGCGCCTTGGTGTTGTCCGGACCCTTTTGAATCTTCGCCGGAACTAAAGAAAGGGAAAGAGAAGACGAGCTAGTGAGGGACTTGGAGGTGAGGCCGGGCAGCGGGCTCAACCTCCCCAGCCAATACCCCCACCCACATTACGATATGCATTTAAATTCACAGTGTGACGGTTGTTAACCTCTCTGGGGCTTCGTCTCCTCAACTGTTAAGTGGGACTGATAATTCTTGCTTCTCCTACTGCAAAGGGTTGACCAGAGAATCAGAGATACTGCGGGCGAAAACTCGGAATCTCCGTTCTCACACACATCTCGCGGGGCCTTGGAAACGGCTCTGGGTGATGGAAATTGCCCTCCATCGGGCGCCCGAAGACCAGGGCTTAACCCTGGCTCTGTTGCGGGCTCGCATTATGACCTTAGGACCCTGGAAACGAGTGATCGAAGCCCGCAGCGAATTCTCAGCCTGGTAGGGCCGGATCCCGAGACAGAGGCGGATGCGCACCGTGAGCGCGGCGCTGCGCCCTGACCTGCGCCCCAGGCTCTGCCGGAGCTGGGCTGGCCACAGCCCTATCCGGACTCGGCTCGTCCCAGCGGACGCGCGCGCTGGGCCGGGCTGTGGACGCCAGGGATGGCGCTACTCTGGGGGCTCGGGTACCTTCCACGAGGATGCGCGCCGAGTCGGAACACTGGCCGAAGGGATTGGTTACGTTGATGCTGTACTGGCCCAGGTCAGCCAGGTCGCCGTCACGCACCACCAGTGCCACTACGTCGGGATCCTCGAAGACATAACGGTACTTGGGCCCGTCGCGCAGCTCCTTGCCGTCCTTACTCCAGCGGATGAACGGGTCCGGGAAAGCCGAGATGCGGCAAGTCAGCTTGGCGGCGCTGCCCTCGATTAGCACCACGTCCTTCAGCGGTTCCAGCACCCGTGGCGGCCCCTTCTCGCGCAGCTCCTTCCGGGACCTACACGCGGGCCGGGTCAGGGCCCACAGCGCCCACGACTCTGGGCTGCCCGCAGCTCTGTCTGACTGGACACTGGCCCCTGTTCGTCCCTTTGGGCTTGTTGGTGGTGAGGGGGACCTACTCCTGAGCTCTTAGCATCAACTGATCTACTCTGGTCGGCCACCACTTCACGTCTCAGTAACCACTCCTCCCCAAGGCCAGTGACCCAGGGGTCCCTGCCACTGTCCCCAGCGTCCCCTCCCCTTCCAATGCAGGGACATGCCCCCGCAGCTTCGGCTCCCCTCCTCCTGAGCGCTCCCTGGCTCCCCCTCACCTGTGGCCCCGGTAAGAGGCCTGGATGCGAATGGCCGCGCTCTGGACCTGAGGGTCGTTGATATCCAGGGTACACCCCGAGGGCGGGGGGGCAGGCGCCGGTTTTTTGGCGGGAGCTGCTTTGGACATCTGGGGAGAAGACAACAAATATAAGGTCCAGGCCGAGACAGAGGCTCCGATCTTCCGCATTGCACCAGGTCGGTCAGAACCTCCTAGAATGGGCGAGCCAGGGCTGGTCTGAGGATCGGGACTCACCCTAGAGGGCGCGACTTCGGAATCTGGGTTTGCAGGCTGGGTTGAAGGCTGGTGGGAGCCCTTCCGTGTGGTACAGTAGGGGCGCGGGCAGGTACTCAACCCCGGCCCCGGTTTTATACCTCGCTCCCCTCCTTGCCTTGTTTGGCATCGTTGCCCTAAGCCCCCCGGGGACACCAGCCCCCGCCCCCCGACCCGTGCGGGGCTCCTTATTTAGCCCGAGGACGCCTGGGATGCTGGCTCAGCCGCTGCAGCCGACCCGGGGGGGGGGGAAATCCGAGAGGCTCTGAGGTGCACCGCGCGTCAGCGCCTGGACAGCTGCACAGCTGCACGCGGCCGTGTCCTCCCCAGGGCAGGGGTATCTGTCCTGCTCCAGGAGGGCCAGGCACGGCCCCTAGCGGACAGGAGATTCAGCTCCCTTCTGAGGCTGCTTTACATTTAGGTCAGTCGTGGGACAGTTGGACCACTCGTGCAACCGCGGACACCGTCGGATAAGGGGGTGGAGAGTCTTTGTGGGTGTTCCTGAATGAAGCCTGAGTAACCACGGACTTCTCTGCCCATACAGCCAATCGCGAGAGGGCCACGTGGTTGCCAGGACCAATCGGAAAGCGCCTTCCTTCCAGGGTAGTCGTTTCCAGACTCTGTCCCCTGGCGGTAAAATGAGGTAAACCGAGAAGGGACTGGAAAGGTTTTTGAGAACCGCCCTCACCCCAGCGCCATTCCTCTCTCCCTGCTGTGACGTGGCAGGGTCCCTGGAGATTAACCTCTACTACCAACGCCCCAGGAGCTCTGGTAGCATAGTGGCTAAAGCACTTGACTGCTAACCAGAAGGCTGGCGGTTCAAACCCACCAGCCACTCCTCGGAAGGAAGGTTGGGCAATCCTACTTCCGTAGTGATACTGCCTCGGAAACCCAAGGAGGGGTCGCTATGAGTCGGGGCCGACTCGACGGCACATAACAACAAAAACAACAACAACCAACGCCCCAAATCTAAGTCTGCCTGAGCCTTGCTTGGGGCATAAACTGGTGCGGGGGCATCAGACCCCCTGGGTGAAGGGGCTCAGATAGCTCCCTTGGGGTGCACTCAGCCAGGCCAGGGCACTGGGGAGGGGCAATGTTCTCTTCATTGTAACTGCCCATCCAGGTATGGAGTTCTGCCACGTTTTGATCAGAGCAATTTTGACACAGCTCTACTGACATAAATTACCTTTGCTCCTCCGGGCTTGGAACAAGCAGTTCACATGCCATTTCCAATGGAGACGGGGAGAGCTCAAGATCAGAGGAGGGATGGGAGAGGAATTTTACCATTTATCAAGATATGCGTTTAGGCACCTCATTCTTATATGAAAACACTTGCAGTGAAGAAGGGATTGGAGATTGTCACAGGCAAACTGTGTATCTTCATCGCTAAAATGACAGGTGGGCAAGGCGGCTCTCTGGTCCCTTCTAGCTGGTTTTAACAACCTGTTGTTTTATGATGAAGGGGCTTGGCCCTCCCCTGGGGTCCTGAAAAGCCAGAGATGCTGGGAGGGAGTCTGGCTGCTTGGGATGAAGCCAAGGGGCCTCAATCTCCAATCAACAGCAGACAACACTCATGGTCGGAGGTTTGGCTCCTTACACTTTGCCAAGATCAGAGTTTTCAAGATGGGGAGGGGGAGGCCTGGCTTCCTCCTCACCCTTCTCAGGACAGGACAGCTCAATTCTAGGATCCAGCGACTATTCCCATTCCATGGTATTGCAGGGGAGTGGCTAATAGTCAGCAGGGTAGGGGCCTTGACACCAGCAGATGCCCCAGCTTGCCATGAGAACAAAGAAGCCCAGGCTGATGTGTTTCTCAGCCCCAGGAAAGTGCCCATGTGTGGCCCCAGGGCAGCAGACCCGGCTGACTGCAACACTCAGCTCCCCTGGGCAGCTGGTGCTCATGTGCTGGTTTCGTTCCAACACTGAGACCAAGAGCTCGGGCTGCCCTGGGTTCTTCTGCAGCCCTTCACACCACCTGCTCTTGCCAGTCATCATCATGATGAAACCCTCTCTGCTCTGGGGGTCAGGACTAGAGCTGGCCTGTCTCCTGGGCAGTGAAGGTGCTTTGACCTGGTCCATTACACAGGCCCAGCATCCCCCCAAGATATGACTGGGGGGGCACAAGAGGAGGTGAGGGGGCTACAGAATATGGTTGGAGGGTTGGCAGGGGACTCAGTGCTTTTGCCAGGATCCCAGAAACTGCAGGAGATGTAGACCAGGAAGAGAGGGGAAGGACTAGTAGAAGGTACTGAGAGTCCCAGGCTGTCAGCTGGTATATCCCCAAAGGTGTGGCCAGGGGGCCTTGGTGTTCATTGGCCCAGAGAAGGCTGAAGTGCCCTGTTCCAGGACTCAATGCTACGCCCCAGCATCCCTCCCCACAGACCACACATAACTCCTACTGCTTGCCGTTTTTATTTTCCTTGTGACAGAGACAGACAGACAGACAGCTGCACAGGCAGCTGAATGGCCGAGGGGATGGTCAGGACAACATGGGCTATAGGGACTGAGTGGAAGGAAAACTTCATGAAAGTCAATAAATAAATAAATATGAATGGGAAGAAAGTCAATGGCCATGAAGGGGGCAGCGGGGACATCCCTGGGCCAGCATTGGAGTGCCAGAACCCTCTGCTGCGTGGCCATTCCCCTCCAGCCTCCCTCACCATCCAGGCTGCTGCTTCTCGGAGACTGGCAGCTGGCCAATCTGCCCTACCGGGTCCTCTCTCCTCTCCTTCCCCATCTCTCCCGTTGCCCTTGTCACGGTCCTGCTCTGGCTGTGCCCTGTCCCTGCCTCACTGACACCCACACCCAGCCCTTCACCCAGACACCCTGGGCTCCCTTCCTCCTCTCACACGCCTCAGCTCTCCCCCATGCACTGTCCCTCCCACCCCAGAACCTTCAGAGGCTCCCCTTTCCCATTCCTCGCCCTCTCCTCCTCACTTCCCTGTTCCACTCTTGCCCTTCTTTCTGCTCCCACCCATGCCCACCAGCCTGGCCAAAGGCTCTCCTGCTCTGGCGGGGGTGGCGGCTGGCCCAAGCCCGGGCCTCTGTCCCACAGGTCCATGAGGTAATAGCCCTGCCGGATGTTGCTGCTGGTGGTGTCTGAAGCCCCGGGCCCATCTGGCTCGGCGTGGGCCCTGGAATGTCCTGCAGCAGGAGCGGAGTCGAAGCCCCGGAAGCCAGGCTGTGATCTTGGCCACTAGGGGTTGCCGGGGTAGGACCGGAGCAGCACCTTGTGGCGGGTGGCAGCCTCTGCCCGGCGGCGCCGCTGCTCACCCAGGAACTCCTTGAGCCGGTTGGTGGTGAAGGTGAGCGTCTGGCGGCGCAACTTCATCAGGTAGGCGTCCTGCAACCATGGGTGGGCCAGGCAGTCCTGCAGGGAGGGTCGGCTCCTGCCAGCCAAGCCAGGGCAGTGAGCGGGGAGGGACGGCTCCTGGAGACCCTTGTCCCAATCCTGGCTGCACCCTGAGTGTGTGATCTCACACTAGTCTGAGACTCAGTTTCCCCATCTCTCGAATGAGTATGGTAATTCTGACTGTTCTTGTAGGTGCTCTGGTGGCGCTGTGGTTAAGGCATTGGGCTGCTAACCAAAAGATCAGCGGTTCAAACGCACCAGCTGCTTCATGGAAGAAAGATGAGGTGGTCTGCTTCTGCAAAAATGTACAGTCTTGGAAACCCTATGGAGGTTGCCATGAGTTGGAACGGACTCAATGGCAGTAGGTTTCGCTTTAGTTTCATAGTCCCTACCATTAGCGGTAGTAGTAAACTAACTGCCATCGAGTTGATTCTGATTTATGAAGACCCCATGTGTGTCAGAGTAGAACTGCACTTCCTAAGGTTTGAAATGGCTATGACCTTTTGGAAGTGATAGCCAGGTCTTTCTTCCGAGGTGCCACTGGATGGATTTGAACCAGCAATCTTTTGGTTAGGAGCCGAGCACTTTACTGTTGGCACCACTCAGGAACTCCTAGTAGCAGCAGCAGTCCATCATTAGGGGCAGGGGAGGAGTCAGAGATGTGTGGCATGGGCTGGGTGGGGCAGTCTGAGGCCAGGGGCAGGTGACACTGGGGGCCGCCAGGTGTGGGCCCTACTCACCATGGATGCACTGAGAGGACCTTTCGCAGGAAGAGGGTGGCACTCTGGGAGGTGTTGGGGTACAGCTGGAAGGCATCAAAACGGCCCCCCACGATCCGAGCCTCTGTCTCCTGGGGGTCTGACTCATAGAATGGGGATCGTCCACTGAGCCTATTGTGGGAGACAATCTGGTTGGCACACACGGACCCAGGCCAACTCCCAAATGATGGAGACATACGTGTGGGGGAATGAGTGCCACCCAGTCTCTGGGTGTGTTGGAGGGCGGGAACCGTAAGAGAGTGTGTGTGTGTGTGTGTATGTGTATGCACACGTGCATAGGTAAGTATTGGGGGTGGGAGGAGGCAGGCAGGCAGAGGTGGATCCTGGAATCCCAGTGCCGACGAGAGGGCTTTGCAGGGCCCAGGGCACTCACATGATGTAGGTGAGCACGCCTGCTCCCCAGATGTCCGTGGCAGAGCCGATGGGTTCTCCTTTTACCATCTCAGGAGCTGATGGGAAACAGAGGCCAAGCTGATCCAGCGTCCCAGTGGCAGGAGAGTGAGGAGAGGCAAGGGGAGCCCCTCCCGGGGGGGTTACTGAGAGCAGGGAGCAGGGACAGTGCCTGGGTCACCAGGCCATACGGACCACCAGAGCAGCAGGCCCTGGGCACCAGTGAGCAGGACAAAAGTGGGGTGGCTGCCAGGGTTTTCCCCAGGGTACTAAAGGAATCATTCTCAGCACTGAAAAGTGGGGTCCCCAGGACTCCAGAGGGGCTGAGAACCAGGGTAACCAGCTCCCTCAGATCAGCTCTGAGGCAGGCACCCATGACAAAGAGTATAGCGACACTGAGATCTTAAGAAAGCCTTTGGGTGCCCCGCTGCCTGGTTTTCCCTCTTTGAGCCTGGCCCCTTCCTAGACATGAGACCCTGCCTGGGAGCTTTACGACATCTCGCTGGCTATCCAGTTCTGCGTCTGAGAAGTTCAGCTTGCAGAACAGAGATAACGAATGGAAAGCACTAGACACTCAACAGGAAGTTAAATGGTGGCTGTTTCTCCTTATTTATATAAAATAACAATTCAGTCTCTCTGTTGTTGTTGTTATGTGCCATCGAGTCAGACCTGACTCATAGCGACCCCTCCTTGGGTTTCCGAGGCAGTATCAGTACAGAAGTAGATTGCCCAACCTTCCTTCCAAGGAGTGGCTGGTGGGTTTGAACCGCCAGCCTTCTGGTTAGCAGTCAGATACCTTAGGCACTATGCTACCAGAGCTCATCAAATCCTGGCTCTACCATTTATGACCGTCTGATGTTGGACAGCAAACTTAACCTCACCACACCTCTGTTACTTCATCTGTAAAATACCCCCAAAAAACAAACCAGTTGCTGTTGAGTCAGTTCTAACTCATGCAACCCCCCCGTGTACAGAGGAGAACCGTTCTCCACAGGGTTTTCATGGCTGTGAGCTTTCAGAAATACATCACCAGGGCGTGCTTAGGAGCCTCTGGGTCTCTGCGTGGGCTTACAAGATGTAACAGGTTTCGGTTAGGAGCCGAGTACATTAACTCTCTGCACCACCAAACCAAAAAAAAAAAAAACTCACTGCCATTGAGTCGGATCTGACTCAGCAACCCCTCCTTGGGTTTCCGAGGCAGTATCACTATGGAAGTACATTGCCCAACCTTCCTTCCGAGGAGTGGCTGGTAGGTTTGAACCGCCAGCCTTCTGGTTAGCAGTCAAGTGCCTTAGGCACTACACTCCAGCAGGGACTCAATCTCGAGAGGTGGGGGCAGTGTTATGTCATTCTCCAGAGATATTGTAAACATCAGTGAAAAAAAAAAGAGTAAGGGACTTGGTTTATCACTTAGTATATAGTAAGTGCTTTGTAAGTGGCTGAGTGAGACCCCTCCAAGGGCGTGGGTGAAATGGGGGGAGCCCTGGCTATTGTCCCTCTGGCAGCACCCATCCCCCTCACCCCCCACAGCAGCCTAGTCTCCTCACCCATGAACTCCAGCGTTCCTGTGCGGTGGCCCAGGGGCCGCAGGGCCTGGGGGTTGTAAGGCTGGGCACTGCCAAAGTCCACTATCTTGAGGGCATTGTCAGGGGCCAGCAACAGGTTGTCGGGCTTGATGTCCAGGTGCAGCACGTGGTGGCCATGGAGGTAGTCCAGGCCCTGGAGAAGCTGCACCACGTAGGTGGCCACATCGTCCTCCGAGTACCGGAACCTGGGGGGAGGGGGGTAAGAGCCCAGCCCAGTGGGGCCCAGTCCAGCTTGGCCCTGCCCACTCCCCAGGAGCACCCCAGCTACCTGTCGCTGAGCCCACAGAGCAGCTCCCGGTTGCCACAGCTCTCAGCAATGAGCACGAGGTAACGCGGGGTGATGTAGGCCTCGTGCAGGGACATGAGCCGCTCGTGGTGCAGCTTCCGCAGCACCTCGTACTCCTGCAGGACCTGCTGCTTGCCCTCAGCTGCGTAGGGCACGATCTTGGCCACAAATGTCCGGCCTGTGGTGTTCTCCCGGCATGCTCGCACTACGCCAAAGCGGCCCCTGTGCAGGGGAGGCACCGAGGCTCAGAGGTGAGGAGGGACACCTCCATCATGAGGGCTAGAGCAGGGACTCCTGGGGCAAAACTGGCTCTGAGTGTGGGCTCAAGTTGAATCCTAGGAACCTAAGTTTGAATCCCAGCTCTGCCATGCTCTGCCTCTGTACCTTAGGGGACAGATAGGATAGCCCCTCTAGCCTCAGTTTTCCCATCTGTGAACGGGTGATGATACTAATGCAATGTCTCCCTCTCAGAGCTGTCATGAAGATTAAATGGCATCATATGGCTAAAGGGCTTAGTACAGTGCCTGGCACAAAGAATGCCACAGTGCTAAGGACTCAGAGCTCAGCACCTCCCTCCCCCATCCCTGGCCAGGGCAGCCGGCCTTCTCTCCTGGGTTCCCTACATCCCACCCCTCCCTCTGAGTCCTCCTCCCCTGCCCCAGCCCTGCTTGCCTGGCCTTCTCCTCCAGGAAAGTATAGGGTTTCTGAGGGGGGCCCTGTCGAAGTGTAGTACCCTCTGGCCTGGGGGAGCTGACTTCCTCCTTGGCTGGACTGAAGCTCTTCACAGTCACCTTGGTGGGCTCAGGAGGGGGCTCAGGGGCTGGGGGCTCGGGGGCTGGTGGTGCTGACACAAAGGAAGTCACCACATACTGGGGAGCCAAGGAAGATGCTGGCTTAGCCCCTTGAGGGGTGGAGGCTAGGGTTCGGGTCCCAGTTTCAGGGATGGAAGACTTGGGCTCACCAGGCAGGACCTGGCCATTGGGTGGGGTGGGCTCTGCTGGCCGTGTAGCCATCAGACCTCTGTGCTTTCGTGGGGGGGTTTGGGGCGGTGGACCCACGGCCTTGAGTGAGGATAAGGCCTGGCTGGGGGGTGCTGAGGGAGAGGAAGGGCTGAGAGTGGCTATTTGGGAGGCTGAGGGAGCTGGGGTCAGGGGAAGGGATGGGGCCAGTGAGGTAGGAGAGTCAGGAGGTGGGGCCCTGGCTGGCCCTGAGGTAACAGGGGCGTCTTGGAGAGTAGCAGATGGCAGAGTTGAGGAATCTAAGTGGCAAGAAAGAAAATCTTCATCTTAGCGCTCGGGAGGCCAAACCCCAATGCTCCAAGGAGGGGTGGCCCCAGGTGCAGGGTCTCCTTCCCTCTCCCAGCACCCATCCCACTGACCTTGTGTGCCCCTGACGAGGACCTTCTCAGAAGGATTGCTGAAGGGCCCCTGCCCAGCACGGTTGACACAGGCCACACGGAACCTCACGGTCATGCCGATGGGCAGGTGGGTCACGTTGTAGTAACAGTCAGAGATGCCCGAGCTCACGGGGTGCCAGGCTGACTCCCCTGAAGGCAGCATGAGGGAGGGACTCAGGCCACTGAAGGGGTGGCCAAGCTCTTGGTGCTATCTGTGAGGAGCCTGGGGAGGGGACTTCTCTCCTGTGAGGGCACTTGTCTCCCCTCAGCTGCTGTCTCCCCGGGCTTCTCCCTCTCCCTCCTGCCCTGTCCCCAGCCCTCACCATCCACACGCCGCTCTAGCGTGTATGTGCAGGGTGCCTGGCTATCTCCGGGTTTCCACAGCACCAGCGCCGTGTCCTGGTAGACCTGGGGTACCTCCGGAGGTGTGAGCTTCCCCGGGACACCTGCAGGAAGAGTCCCAGTGAGTCCTATGCCTTGCCTTGGGACCCATCCCTCCCCTGCCCCACACACCATCACTACACCCCGTCCCTGCTCACGGGCCACGGCGACGGTACAGGAGCTGGTGATGGAGCCCAGGGCGTTGGTGGCTGAGCACTCGTAGAGCCCCGCGTGCCTCTTGCCTGCCCGAGGAATGCTCAGCAGCTGCCGTCCATCTTTGCAGGACACGATGACCACCGAGGGCTCTGACCGCAGGGACTGCTTGTCTGGGGGCAGGAGGGGCAGGAGGGGCTGCTGAGTGAGGCAGCACAGGGCATCCTTGCACAGGCCCCATCCCCAGAGCAGCCCTGAACCCCACCCTAGCCCCCCAGAGTGTAGCCTGTCCCATCCCCAGGTCCTGGGACCATGTGTCCACTCCTCTCTGGGGGGAAGCGGTGATCTCGGACATCTGGAGCATCTTCACCTTTCATCCAGGAGATGTGGGGTGCAGGGCAGGCCGCCGGCAGACAGAGCAGAGTGGCTGCCTCTCCCTCCAGCAGCACCTGGTCCTTGAGTTTGATGTGGAAGACCGGGGGGAAGTCTGGAGGTAGAGCAGGGGTGGCGTGGGTACGCAGGGAGCCTGACCCATTCACCACTCAGTGAGAGGAGGCGTGTGAGGGCTGTCACTGCCCCAGGGAACAGAATGAATGGTTGTCTCTTCCCGGTGGGATGTGGGGAGTAGAAGCCCACACCAGGCCCTGCAGCATCTTCCTTGGGGTGAGCATCAGTTCCTAAGACTCTTACTGTGTGTGTACTGATGACTGAAGTCACTTGGTAACCACCTAGTGTACCTCTGTTTGTAAATGGCTTAGAGCAGGGAATTCTAAATACCAGCTCTATATGCATTTGTTAAGGAAAACAAAAGCAAATAGATACTGAAAAGCTTCAAGAGTCAAGGTCCTGCAATGCCCACTCCCTTTGGGTCACTGCAGGGCATGAGAGAGGAGAAGCAGAAAGAACAAGTGCCCTGAGCCAAGACAGGATTCTCCGGAGACCAGGGGACTCAGGATACCCAGTCTCAGAAGATCCCGCGTGAAGGCAAACCTCGGGCAGCCTCCGGAAATGTGTCAGCTTCCTCTCCTTTCTCTCCTGGGGTCTAGGGAGAGCTGCCTAGACCTCCCCCACACTCCTTCAGGTCAACTGAGGGGCAAACTTTTGAAGGGGCAAGAGACAGTGTCTGCGACCCCGGACGTCTGCCCTCTCAGAAGCTCCGTGTCTTGTCTGTAAACTCAGGGTTGTTTTGAGAACTGAAAGAGGCCCGGAAAGAGGTTGCATGTGCCTGATATTTAGGAAATGTCCACCAGCTGCTCCCAGGGAGGAAGATGAGGCAATCTACACCCATAAAGGTTTTCCGCCTTGGAAACACAATAGGGGTCACTATGAGTCGAAATCCACTCAATGGCATTGGGTTTGGTTGAATAAACGTTAGGCTTCTTTATTGTTGCAAAGAACTGTGGAGGCACAAGGGTTAACCACTCAGCAGCTACCTGAAAGGTTCAGAGGTTTGCAGCAGAAAGACCTAGAAGTAGCCTCCCATAAAGATGACAGCCTGGAACACCCTATGGGGGCAGTTCTCCTCAGTTACATGGGGTCACTGTGGGTTGAAATCAACTCAACAGCCCCTAACAATATTATTTATGGCTGTTCCTATTATTATCTCAGTCATATGGCTGGTAGAGCCAAGAGCAGACCCCTGAGACAGGCTGTTGCAGCAGAGTGGAGAAGCTGCCTTCCCAGCTGGCTGGTCAGGGCCTTTGGGGAGCCTTGGGAGGGGGCCAGGGCCTTTGCTCTGGTGCAGCCAACCTGTGGCTCCCAAGGGCCACGAGGATTTGGGTTCGTACTCCCTGGGAACATCCTTCTAGAATAATCGCAGTCTTGTCCTGCCTATACCAAGGGAGAGAGGGATTTTTTTTTTTTTTTTTAACCTGAGCCCCGAGAGCTGGGGAGAGGCCGGGACTCCTGAGAACTCAGCTGCCGCCAGTCTGAAGACCAGGCAGGGTAGGGGTGGGGACTAGCTAAGCAGGAGAGGTCTGCCCAGCAGGGGTGCAAGAATAGCACAGCAGGACCCCTCCCATTATACCCCAGGGTTCCCCAAGGAGGGGTCCCACACAGAGGCACCAACTTCATGTGAACAGTTTCATCAATGGTGGCCTCCAGACCATGTGAGGGTACTGGGTCAGGGGCGAGTGAAGAGAGGAAGAGGGTGAAAGGTGACCCTGGCCCAGCTCGGCCAGCCCCACCCCCATCCTTGCAGGAGCCAGCCCTACAGGGAGGGGGAGGATGAAGTAAGGGGACTTGCCACCTCGGCAGGAAATCAGCTGCACCAGCAAAATGGAGCTGGGAGGGAGGCCCCAGGTGGGCTGGGATCAGCTGTCCCCAGGCCTCCATTCTGGCTTATCGCTCTCTTTCCTTTTTCTGACACTGCTCTTCCTCCAGCTGGCCTTCCCTCCCTCCTCTTCCCTCACCATAGACCCCACTGGCCTCTAGAGAGCTGCCCCAGCTCCCCGGGCCTTGGCTAGACACAGTCCCCTCAGGTCCAGTGGGGTTGAAGCTGGAACCATTCTGAGGGTTTTACCAGGAATCAGGGAAGAGGAGAACCGGTGACTTACAAAGGTCCTTCACACCCTGGCGTGGGGGCTGTTCCTTTCCTGCTGGGGTGCAAAACTCAGTCTTCCACCTGCAGATCCTGACCCTTTTCAAGTGGGGGATTCGGGGTGACCAGGTGGAGGATCCCTCCCACCCTGTAACCCCAGGACACTTGGACCGAGGCATACTCCTAGACTCCCTGCTCCTGGTGGAAAGCCCTGAAGGCTGCCTTCTGTGGGGGGCGAGGGGCAGGGAAGGGTGGTTGGGTGCTGGGGTTGTACAGAAATGGCGAATTGAGTCAGCGCAGATGTCGGCCTGTCGGCTGAGGGAGAAAGCGGACGCTTTCGGGTTCACGTTCACACATACATAGATTTGAGAGAAGACTCTAGGGGCAGGGGAGCTCCTTTAACTACGAGCCATTACACAGGCTTCAGATCTCCCACTAGAGGAAGCTAGCCAAAGAAAAGTCTCAGGACTGTTTCCTGAAGCCATTTTTGGGACCTGGCTCCACCCCTCTGTCTGTTCCTCTTACCAGCTCTGTGACTTGGTCAAGTTACTCAGTGTCTCTAAACCTCTACTTCCCCTTTTGTAAAATGGGGATGATAATAGTTCCTAGCCAGTGTTGGGCCTTGGGAGCATAGTGCCTAAGGCACTTGACTGCTAACCAGAAGGGTGGTGGTTCAAACCCACCAGCCACTCCTCAGAAGGAAGGTTGGACAATCTACTTCTGTAGTGATACCACCTTGGAAATCCAAGGAGGGGTCGCTATGAGTCTGGTTTGACTCCACAGCACACAACAACAACAACAACAACGACAAACCAGTGTTGGAGAACTGAATGAGGCAGCACTTATAAAGTGCTTAATACAATACTTGGCATCGTCAAAGAAATGGCAGGTGCAGCTGCTGTGGTTTTCCTGACTCCAGACCCTTTCTAGCACTGCCCAGGCTCCCCAGGGTGATCCGGCTCCCCACCCCCACTCTCAGGCCTGAGGCTTCTCACTTCCTTCCCGGGGGCGTGTATGTTTGCTAGGTGAGGGGACACTCATCCTGCCAGAGCTCCTATTACCTGACTCACTGCGCACGTACTGCTGACCCAAGTCCTCCTGGATGCTGCCAGAGAGGTTTGGCTGGGACTGCCCCTTGTCCTTCCTCAGCCGAGAGAGACCCCAGCGGAGCCGGCTCCGGCTTTCCCCTGGAGCTGTGAAGACCCAGACCCAAAAGTACATGCTCAGTCAGAACGTGGAAGCCCTCTGCCCCTTCACCCAGAGAAGGCTGACAGTAGACGAGGACTCGGCCCCACCCCACCGCCGCCAGCCTCCCTCCCCTCCAGCCACCATCCCATCCTCTTTCTCGTTGCCTCCTTCTAGAGCCCCCTAACCTCTTCCCCACTATGCACCCATCAGCCCAGTCCGGCACCCTACTCCATCCACCATCTTCTTCTGGCCGCCCTTCCTCACCAGAGGAGCCGGATGTGGCGCTGGCTTCGGAGCCCAAGGATTCTGCTGACGGTGTGGTGGCGCCGGCCTGGGTGGCCAGCTGGTTGTGCGCGAGGCCGAGACGCCGCAAGCTCTCACCCTCGGAAGTGGCCCTGCGCAGCCGTCCGAACAGCGGCGTGCTACGGCCCGACGCGCCTCCCGAGTCCTCGCTGCTGCCACTGCGCTGCAGACGGCTCGAGAGCCGCTCCAGCGTGGAGCTGAGCCGCCGGCGCACCGCCAGCACCGGGGAGCCTCGCGCAGAGCTGCCGCCCTCCGAACTCTCCCCGTCCCCGCCGCGGCTCTCCCAGGCCGAGTGGCGCTGCGCGGGCGGGGTCCGCCTCAACCGCTGGGACAGCGACAGCGACAGGCGGCGGACGAGGCCAGGCTCGCCGGCAGCCCTGAGGTCCTGCACTGAGCGCGAGCGCTCCTGCCTTCGCACCAGCTCCAGTGGCGTCCCCGCCGGGCTGGGCCGGTACATGCCGTCGTCGTCCTCGGCCCCGCGGAAGGGGCCGCGCTCTTCCGAGCGTGAGCGGCTCAACAGCCGCAGCCCCCGCGACAGGGGCGACTCACGGCTGCGCTTGAACTTGGCCTCGAACACAGCTTCCGACTCCAGGTTCTCGATACTGCCGCTTAGGCTGCTGCCTGGCCTGGGGGGCACCTTGGGTACCACTGCTTTCTTGGCCACCCCTGGGGGCGCTCCGGCTGATGGCACGCGCTTCTCGGGCGCTCCAAGGGGCGGGGAGGCCACCCTGGCGAACACAGCCGCGTGGGGTTTGGGCTCCGGCGAGAGGGCCGGGGCGTGGCCCGGCACCTGGAGCGACTGCATGATCTGGGCGTAGGGCGTGAGCTGCGGCGCGGGACTGGGCAGAGTCGCCGGGGGCTGCGCAGGCTTGGGAGCCCGAATTGCTTCCGGCGTGGGCTTGGGGGTCCTCTCTTGGATCGGCTGGGGTGTCACAGGCTGTGGGGCGCCACTGCGCATGGCAGTGGGAGGTTCTGCAGACTTGGGGGCACTGGGCTTCGCGGCGCTTGGCCGCGCAGGGCTGAGCGGTTGGGCCTCGCTGAGGGCGGACAGGGAGGGGGACTCCTGCAGCTTGCGGGCCCCTAGGCGGGCCACAGGGATTTCAAGGGGTGCCCCGGCGCGGCGATGCCGGCCCCGGGGCTCTGCCTCCCCCTGCGAGAAACTGCTGCTTTTCTGCAGGCCCCGCGCCTCAGGCGGCGGCTGGTGGTGGGGCGCCGCTTCGCTGGAGGCGGCCCTCGCCAGCCGGGGGTCTCGGGCACGGCCCCCTAGGCTCTCCAACAGGGGGCCCCTGAGGCCGCTGACCTTGCCGTCCTCAGGGGCTCCCCGCAGCAGCCGCTGGCGCAGGGCCTGCAGCCTCTGGGCATACTCGCCCTCCCCTAGGCCACCCCGGGCCAGGCGCGTGGCCCCCGGGCTGGGGCTCCGGCGCTGCGGCAGTTCCACAGACGCGGCCTTGTGCAGGCTCCGGCCTGGTTCCCGCGGCCCGGCCCGGGGCAGGGCGCTCTCAGCCGAGCTGCCCCTCCGGAGCTCACCCCGCCTAGGGCCAGGCCCAGTGGGGGACTCCTGGCCTGGGGAGGGGAGGGCCTGGGGGCTGAGGGTCTCCTGGTCCTCAGAGGGAACCTTTCCCTGCTCCTGCCAGTCCATGGGGGTGGCAATTCCTGCCTCTGGGGTTCCCAGGGCCTCATCCTCAGTGGGAATGTCAGTGAGGGACACCCGGGAGCCTGAGAACTCGGGCTGCAGCGGCCTGGGCACTGAGGGCAGTTCCTCCAGCTCTTCCTCTTCCGAGTCCGAGGAGGACGACAGCCCCGCACTGGGCAGTGGGCGTCTGGGCACAGCCACCCACACCTGCTCCGGGGGGGCCCGCAGCAGCTCAGGGATGGGGCGCAGTACCAGGTGGCACTTGTAGCTGACCTGGGAGCGCTGGAGACAGAGCACCAGAATCAGGCCTGGGGGGGGTCCCCGGGGCAGGGCTGACCCACCCAGGCCCATCCCAACTCAGACATTACCCCAGGAAAGAAGGCCAAAGAGGGCAAGAGGGAAGCTGGGAATTGAGAAAATAAAAAACAGCCACTAGAGGAGCAGGAGGGTTAGAGAGGAGCTCAGAGGATGATAAGGTGCTAGGCCAGATATGGGCCTACGCCAAACTCACCTGCCACCTGCGTCGGGAGAGGAACAGCTTCAGGTGATCAGTGCTCACCTCTGCGCCCTTTGCCTGTGACTGCAAACCGGGGAAGGAGAGCATGAGGGAGAGTCCTGTCACCCTAGCCTCTCAAGGTTTGGCAATGGAGAGACAAAGTCCACAGTAGGGGCAGTGGTTGGAGCAATATCGAGCCTGGGCTCCTGGCGGTCCCTCTCCCTTGGGTCTGGCATGGAACTCCCATAGTCAAGGTACCCACTGGTAGAAAAATCCCCTGAACCTAAGTGAAGAGGCAGAAAACCAGGGGCCCCAGGGGCCAGTTTCTGCTCCCCACAGGGGGCTTGTACCAGGGCTCCAGGCCCTTTCTAGAATAGTGGGTTCCCTGGTGGTCTTTGCTCAGGTCCTTGGGCACCAGCAAACTTCTTAAGTCCCTGGCTTGGGCCTCAGCTCCCAGACCATGTCCTAGGACCAGAGTCCCAGCCACCAGGAGACTTGACAGCCCAGATGCCTCCCTCAGCCACCACCAGGCTGTCCCTTTCAGGGTAAAGTAGAGCCTGGAAGGAGGCTCTACTCCAAGGACTGCTGCCAGAATGACCTCGCCCTTCAGTTGACCAAGGCTCAGTGGACAGTTCATTCAGTCCCTCTCTTTAGACTCATTTACAGAACTCCCTGTGTTCTGGCTTTCAGTCCCACGGTGCTGGGCTTTGCAGATGAAGGAGAAACCTGCCCACCAGGAGGTGCTCCTAACACGTGGGACCAGTGTAGGAAGGGGATAGGCACACAGACTCAGGAGGTCCAGGGCTGGTCTTGAGAGCTAGGGGGAGCCTAATGAGCACCTGGAGTCCATGACACCCCAACTCCATCACTGATTGGAACCTCAGTTTCCGTAACAACAGAATGGGAAGAATGATACCTAATACCTTCCTTTGCAGAGCTAACAGATCTTGTGTGTAAAATGCCTATTGCGGTTACTGCACATTGCAGGTCCTCAGTAAATGGAGCTGTTAATAATGTTCTCTCTGCCTCCATGCCCTGTACCACCCACTTTAAGAGATGGACTCACTTTGAACCAAGGATGTTCTAGGGTCTCCTCTGCCGTAGGCCTCCTGTAAAGGAATGAGGGTTGAGAAGGAGCCAGAAGGGCTTTAAAAGCCCTAGTGGCACAGTGATTAAGGAACTCAGCTGCTAACTGAAAGATTGGCAGTTTGAACCCACCAGCTGTTCTGTGGGAGAAAGATGAGGCAGTCTGCTTCAATAAGGATTTACAGCCTTGGGAAGTCTAAGAGGGCAGTACTACTCTGTCCTTACAGGGTTGCTGTGAGTTGGAATCAATTGGATGGCAATGGGTTTTTAGGAAGGCTTTCTCATGCAATCATTCCTTCATGCAGTCAGTCATTCAATTAATGTTTGAGAAACAATGGCTTCTAAGGAGTTGGCAGATTGAATGTCTAAGGGGCAGAGGAGCGGAGGATGCAATGGGGGCAATGGGGGCTCCTTGGGCCTTGTACTCACAGGCGGTCCTGCACCAGCACTTTGATGAGGAAGCCCCGGGCCTCCCTGCTTAAGCTCAGGAATGTCGTCTCCTCAAAGGCCACATTGTAGTTTCGGATGTTCATCAGTGTTGTCCGATCATTTTCCCCAACAAATGGGGAGATTCCCGTCAGACTGCAGAGGTGGAGGGGACTGTGGTGAGAGCTAGGCGGGGCCTTGGGCTGAGGCAGAGACTAAAGGGGGGGGGCGAGTGTAGGGACAGAGCAGGGGACAGGTGGAAGTCCTGGGGTTCACCCAGAGGCTGAGTGAATCTGGGCAGAGGGAGGATGGCAAGAAGCCAAAGCTTTCAGACCCTTGCCTATCCTACCCCCAACCCCACCCCCGATGGGCTGGAAGGCAGTACCACCTTAGCCCTGAGTAACCAGCTGTGGCCTCTCCATGAGACAAAGAGTCTGCGGGCTAAGAGGACATGCCCACCCTGAGCCTGAGCCCCACCAGAGCTTCTAGACCATGTTCTGGGCACTCAGGGCCTCTTAATTTCCTGCCTAAATGGCACTCAGCCAGCATAGGCCTCCTTCCAGCCCCCTTCCCAAGTGTGCCACAAGGGAGCCCACCCCCAGGCCCGAGGGCTGGTTGTTTATGGCGTGGACAGAGCTTAAACATGCAGCCTGGGGTGTCCGCACTCATGCACGTGAGGCCCTGTGCAGTGAGGAAGGAGCAGAGGTAGGCGTGGAAGAGGAAGGGGATGGCTGCAGATCTCAGTGGCACTGTTGCCCCAAGGCCCTGCAAATGTTAGGGGTGGGCTTATGAGGAGGCTGCCATGGGGCCCTGAGGGCAAGAGTCCTTACCAGAGGAAGGCCACGACACCCACGGGCCTGCGGGGAAGGAGAGTGATGGTAAGAGAAGAGTCTGTCTCCCGCTGGAAGTGAGCCGTTCTCTGCTACCGTTAGCATGAGGGAGACGTGGCCTCCCTGTGAGCTCCAAGTGACAGAGAGCCCAGGGATGCCTCCTTCAGTGAGGACCCTGGACCCAGAAGTTCAGACATGCCTGGAGGAGACAAGGGCCATGGCAAGGCCAGCCCGGGAAGCCCAGAGGAATCTTGGGGCTACCAGGGCCATGTCTTCTCACAGGGGAGACACGGCAGCTGCAGAAAGGGAGGCTGGCCCCGTGAGGCCCAGCACCCAGGGGAGACAAAAAGCTAGGGACTGACAGGGCTGAGGCACTGACTAGTCCAGGGCTCATATGAGTAGGAACCCCCCCCCCAAGATCAATGCAATGCCACCTGCTGGTTGTCCAAGAAGAAGGAACCCAGGCTTAGAAAAGCTCTTCTCTAGCAGCAAGCAGGTCCCCCGCATAGCACTGACGGCAGCTGCCTTGGCCCACCCCAGCGGCCTGCATGCCGATGTTACCAGATGTCAGTGACGCCGGACACGGGGGTCTGGTTGACAATCTCGGGAGCCACAAACTCAGGTGTGCCATATTGGCAGTACTGGGGCTCTTCTGGGGTCAGCTCCTGAGCATTCCCGAAGTCACAGATGCGCACCTGTTCTTCCCGCTCAGCACCGTCCCAGACCAGCAGGTTCTCAGGCTGCAGGACACAAGGCAGGGTGTGGGAGCTAGGTGCCGAGGAAGAATGCCCAGCAGCTTGGCTTCCACAGGGGGCTGCCCGCTCCCCAGCCCCACCTGTACCTCACCTTGACATCCAGGTGCAGCACATGGCTCTGATGCAGGTAACATATTCCCTCTAGCACTTGCCGCATATACGTCCGGATCTATAAAAACAAGGGGTTCAGAGTCCATGGAGTTAGTGGCATGCTCTATTTAATTACTTTCAGAGCTGAGACAAGAGGTCAGGCCATGCCTGACGTTGAGTCACAGGTTTGGAGTTGCTGAGATTCAGGGCTGCCACGTACAGCTGCACAGGTTGGACACAGCACAATTCTAGGGTGGGACCACTTACCTTGTAATAACTAGAATTGTACAGTATACCTACCACCCGTGCAGCCCTATGTGGCAGGAGTACAGAGAGACTAAATGGACATGGATAGGTGGAGGCTCCTTTTGGGAGAAATGTTTGGGAAATATTTATTTGAAAAAGACTGGGAAATAGCCAAGTTAGGGGCTGGAGTGAGTATGCTGAGGTTTATAGAGGGTAGTGCAAGCCCCAGACAGATGGGGTTCTGGTCTGATCTGTTGCCTGCCTAACTGTGCTCTCCACCTCCACCCCTGCCCTCTTTATGGGCACAGATGGCATCCCCAGGACCACCTACCAGTGCTCACAGCTTAGGGGGGTGAAAGCAGGTGCCCAGCCTCGTCCCTGCCGCCTGCTGTTCTCACCTCGGACTCACACACGGTGGGTTTCCTGGCCATTCGCTCCAGCAGCTCCTCTGTGCAGCTACAGCACAGCTCAAGGAGAACAGAGATCAGTGCTGCAGCCTGGCCTGCCCCTGGCAGTGCCCTCCACTCCCTGTACTGAGTGTCCTGGCTTGCCTGCCCTTCATGCACATCTGGTACCAGCCAGAGACTGTCCTCCCTCTCCCCTGTCATCTGGATATAGAGATGGGACCACCTGACTCAAACAACTGTGGGATCTTGGGTAAATCACTTAACCTCTCTGAGCCTAGGTTCCCTCAGGTATGACATGGGGATATCATCTCCTCTCCTGCCCCCCTTGCAAAGTATTTATAGGGATCGAATTAGAGCACACTTTTGTTGACTGTGAATGGAACTTCTTGACTCTATTTGAAAATGGCTCAGAAAGTCAATGAGATAACCATTTTGCTGAGGGCGGGGTTTGAGCAGTACAGACTGGGAGGCCGGTGTGCAGGACACAGTGCCCTGCTAGTCAGTGTGACAAGCTCACCGCCCAGCAGCCTTCCCACAAGGTGCCTTTGTTTCACCATAGCTGTTATGAAAGAGTAAAAGCTGGGCTTTTTATGAAAGGAGCCTCCCAAATAAAGTCCGGCATTAGTGCTCTCAGGGTCACATCACTGTTCAGATAGACTCTACTGAACTTTGTGACAGAAACCATATGCCATCTGTTAGCTGTGTAACCTCAGGCAAATAATTTACTCTCTCCATAGATTTCTACATCTGTAAAATGGGGAGAAGGACATTCCATGAGGTATGTGCACATGGGAGTCCCTAGGTAGTGCAAAGGGTTAAGCATGTAACTGCTAACCGAAAGGCTAGAGGTTAGAACCCAGCGAGGCACCTTGAATAAAAGGCCTGGCTATCTGCTTCAGAAAGGTCACAGCCTTGCAATTACTCCAGAGCACAGTTCTCCTCTGTACACATGCGGTTGAGTCTAACTCCACTAGAGGGCAACAGGTATGGGGTTTAGGTGGATATAAAGATTAGATGGGCTCATATCTGTGAAATGCAAAGACCACCACCAGGTGCACAGTAAGTGCTAAGGAAGTTTAGCTTAAAAAAAAACAAAACTTTAAGATGCTAGTCTTTGCACAGGTCTCCAAACTTATCCCTACAACTGTCAATAGGACAACTTTGTAAACTGTAAAACATGTTGCCAATAAGGCACGTGTCCCCCCCTCAGTCCTCATCGATCCGAGGATACAGCTCGGTGACAATGACCAGTCCTCGGCGTCTCTCGAAGGCCTCATGGAAGTAGAGGACGCAGTCGTGCTGCAGCCGGGCCAGGAGCCGGGCCTCCCGTCGTGCTGATGCCTTTGGCTTGGCCGTGCTGGGGATGAACTTGGCCGCAAACTCCAGGCCGGAGTTACGTTCCACCACGCGGCGCAGGTAGGAGAAGGCACCCCTGGGTGACACATGGAAGGGAACAGGGATGGGGCTTAGCCGTCACTACAGGCCTAGCTCTCCACCCAGTCCTAGCCCTCAGACCCAGCCCTGAGCCCCAGACACCATGTCCCCGCCTCGCCCCACACCTGCCGATCTCCTGGTGGATGTCATAGAAGTCACTAAGCCTCCTTCCCCGCTGCTCCTCATCTTCCCCAGCCCCCTCAACTTCCATAGCTGTCGGAACTGGGGAAAAGATGTCCTGGTGTTAGGAAAGGGGGCCGAGAAAGGGACAAGACTGGGGCAGGCAGGGACAGATGGAGAAGATGGGACTGGGAGCATGAGGAGGGGTGCTGGCTTGGAGGGTGCAGTGGCCACAGAGGGAGGGCCTGGGTGGGGCAGTGCCAGGTTCCTAGAGGTGGGTGCTCTGCCCTTCTTCTCTCAAGCCCAGCTCACCTGGACGCACAGCCAACTCGGCCTTGCAGGAGACCTCGCCTGCCAGGTTTCGGGCAGTGCAGGTATAGACGCCTCCGTCCTGGGCCCCCGTGCTGAGCACCACCATGGAGCACTCGTTCTCCTCGTATACAAAACTCACGTGGCTGCTCTCTGCCAGCAGCATCTCATCCTGAGGAGTTGGGAGTTACCGCTAGCCCCAACCAGGCTTCACCTCCACACTGGAGACCCAGCCTCATCTGTCCCTCAGGGCCGGTAAGCTGCCTAGCCCAGGCCCACCCTCACTGCCCCTGGGCAGTGCCTTCCACTGCCTGTACTGAGTGTCCTGGCTCATCTCCACCCAGGGCCCGGCATCACCTCCACTCCAGGGGATATGTCCCCTCCACTCTGATCTTCCACTAACAGCCCTGAATCCCCCTATTAGTTCCCCAGCTCCCCAATCTCCCACCAGCGTCACAGAGAACTCCTGTCCACCTCCTCCTCCCAACCACTGCTTTGTCAAAGTCTTTCCTCTTCTCTGCCTGTGTTCCCCTGGAGCCTCCCAGGATCCAGATGCAGTCTCTCTCCCCCTGCCCTCAAGAATCCCCTCACCCCCAAGGGAGCCCCCCATCGTCAGCCTCTCAGGCACCTCAGTATTCACCCCCTGACCTTGTACCACATGACGTCTGGCAGGGGTTTCCCCTCCACCACCACAACAAAGCGAGCAGTCTCTCCAGCCCCCACCTCCACGTCCTCCATGATGGACTCAAACCGTGGGGCCTCTGAAACACACAAGGACAAGGCGGGTGGGAAGGGCATGTCACCAGGCCCGGCCTCCTCAGCTCCTCAGCCTCTCTCCATCTCGCTCAGTGACTGGCTCAGGGGAAATCCCACCTCTTAGCATCCCACTACTGGGCTCTCCAACTCAACCCCTGAGAGCTCAGAGTTCCTCGTCTGGACCACCTGCCCCTCCTGCAAGTCCGAACGTCGTGTTCTCCAAATCCCGGAAAAATCAAGCCGGAGGGTGCAGGCTTGGTTTGCCTGGAGTGACCCTCTGTTAAAGCCTGTCAGCTTTAGTATCAGGAGATTTTCACGCACAAAAGAAAGCTGGATTTCCTGCCTCTCCTAAGAATTGAGGACTGGCCCTCCTATGTCAGCTTCCTTCACTGCTTCAGTCATGGTGCTGAGTGGCTCAACGCTGCCCCCTATGGGTGGTCGCTCTTCCTCACAGTCCGCTCCCAGCAGCCAGTAGCTTCACTCATTTGGCCTGTCTGTGCCCTGAATGGGACTCTCTCTATTTTAATGTTTTTCTCTTTAAATCTTACTTAAATGTTTCTGGGGCCTTCTACCATCTGAGAGATGACAAGACAAACAAGCAGATATAACTCCCAAATATTAGCCAAAAACCTAAACACTGATTCTAGGTTTCATTTCTCCCACCTGTGGCTATGATTTTTTTATTCTTCGCACATATCACGTGGTCATAGTATTTCCTGGTAAGACCATAACCAAACCCACTGCTATCAAGTCATTAGCACATAATCATCCTATAGGATTGAAGATAATTGCTCCACAAGGTTCTCAAGGCTGTAAATCTTTATGGAAGCAGACTGCCCCATCTTTCTCCTGAGGAGCGGCTAGTGGGTTCGAACCACCAACCTTCTGGTTAGCAGCCATAGCAGCCAAATGCCTTAACCACTGGGCCACCAGAGCTCCTGCTTCCGGGTAAAGCAGCTTCCAATTCCCACGAAAGGACTGAATACATATTAAAATGCACTTTGCAAAGGAGCCAGTGACATCCAGGTGACCCCTTCCAGAACAGGGGGGAAGTGATTGGAGGAAGAAGCAGAGGACACTGGGTACGGACCACAGCCCACCACAGGCACATAAGTTGCTTTTATTGTGAGGCGGAGGGCATTGTGGGAGTGAGAGACCTACAGTGGGTAGATGCAGGGGCCTGCCTTGGTAGTTAGGGGAGGTGGGGCACAGAGGGAGGGATTATAGGCACCAGCCCCAGACCTGTCCTAGCACTGGCCAGTGGAGAGGCAGTCTCCTTGTCACTGTCCTAGCCGGGTGAGGCTGCAGGGCTCCAGATGGTCAGGGCTGCCCCAAACCCAAGGACTCCTGCATCTGGAGAAAGGATGGGTCCTGCAAATGGTCTTGTCAAAGAGGAAGGTGACAACTGGGCCGGGCCACCAGAGTAAGCTTCATGTCATCACAGGGGTGAGGATATCCCACTGTCCCCACAGCAGGGCCAGTAGGGTCCCCATCTCCTCATATCCCCTACTGCCTCTTCTCTACCACTTTCAAGAAGACTCCCCTCCTCTCTCGGAAGGGGTGTTGGGTGGCACCCCTGTACATTTAGCTGACTTAGGACCCTAGCCCTTAGTCTGCATGGCAGGGTCAATAAAGATCAAAGCCCAGGAAGCTTCTATTGGGAGCCAGCAATTAAAAAAAAATGTACATTTACCCACAAGAAGACTGCATGTGCTAACTAAAATGTCACTTTCTTTGCATTTGGTTGGAATTATATCTACTCAGCAGGTAACAAGCTTTAGCTCACGCTGTTCCGAAATTCTGACTGGCAGTTACATGTGTCTAGAGTTAATTAACAACCCAGAAAACAAAACAATTACTTCTGCATGTGTGCTATGGTTTGGGAGAGTCCGTCTTTAACATTACTGAGGAGAAATTACAAAAAGGTTGGGAGGTTCTGTTAAACAGGCTCCTGCCAAAGGGCAGCCTGGATCCTCAGAGCTGGGAGTCTGGTGAGAAGAGGCCCTCACTGGGGCTCTTGTTAGTTTTCGGAATCAGCTTGGCCTTCCTCTGCTTATTATATCCGACATGCTATTTACTGTTGGGTTTAACACAGGCGCTAAGAGCACTCACTGCCTTTGGAGTGAGGCATCTGAGCTTGCATTCCAGCTCCTGTGCTTCCTAGGATGTGCGACCTTGGCCCCATTACTTAGCACTTGTTAAGCCTCAGTTTCCTTATCTATACAATGGTAACAAAAACTGATTCCACCTCATAGGGTTGATGTAAATACTAAATGATGTGATGATCACACAGTGGTTAGCACAGAGCCTGGCACACTCCACATTCGCGATAAATATCTTACTAGTATGATTACTGATACTGGTGTAAGGGGCCCTGGTGGCATAGTGGTTAAAGCATTCAGCTGCTAACCAAATGGTTGGTGGTTTGAGCCCAGCAGCTGCTCCATGGGAGATGAGGCAGCATGCGTCTGTAAAGATTTATAGCCTTGGAAACCCTATGGACAGTGCTACTCTGCCCTACAGGGTTGCTACGAGTCAGAATGGACTCAATGGCAGTGAAGAGGTAGGACTGGTGTGATTATAACCATTAGACAGACGGATCTAGGAGGGAGGATGTGGGATTGGTTCCCCAGTAGGCATAGGCAGGTGTGTGCACCTGGGGGTGTGAGGAGAGGGCTGGGAGCCTCGGAAAGAGGAGAGAGGAGAAAGCCCACCTCACCCACCTGCCAGCTCCAGGGTGACAGAGCAGGCCTGTGTGCCGTGGCGATTGCGGGCTGTGCAGGTAAGGGGCCCCATGTCTCGGTGGCTCACGCGACAGATCCGAAGACAGTACTGATCATCATCTGGCTGGCTCAGCTCGTAAACACCGGCCCGTGCCTCTAGGAGGGCCCCTCGGCAGCTGAGGGACAGGTAAGAGGGAAGTCACCCAGGATCCAGCCACGGGGAGGTCAGCCAGCTGAGGCTGGGCTGCCACAGTGGGAAGCAGGCATGCAGGGTGGGGCGCACCTCCTCCAGACGACCTGGGCCTCCACATGGTTAAAGGTGACGGTGATGCTGGTGGACTGCCCCTCCACCACATACACGATGTCGGGCTTATCCAGCACGGCAGGGGCCTCCTCCAGGGGCGGGCCTGGGAGGAGGAGAGCTCAGGCTCTTGCTAGACTGGATGGAGGTCCTTAGCTCCCAACCACTGATAATGAGGCTCAGAGAGGTTTAGGAATCTGTCCAGGGCACACAGCCAGGAAGCAGCAGAGCTGGGATTGGAACCCAGAGCCTCCGCTCTGCCCACCGAGTCAGGTTGCTTTTCAGGAGTGGCAAGGAAACCCACTGATAGGTCAGGATCCCACCCAGCTTCCTGTTCCCACCATAGTTGCCATTACCCAGAGCAGCCTGGACTAGCATACGGGCCTGTGAGCAACCACCAAGGACCCAGCTCCCCACCCACAGGAACACCCAAGCTCACCACGCTCCAGCAGCTGCACGGGCTCCGAGGGGGCCGAGGGCTTGCTGCTGCTCTTGCCACTGGTACTGAGGACCCGGAAGATGTGCGGGACTCCCTTACGCAGCCCCATGGCTGCCCATCCAGGCTCCCGCAGGCCCGTGGCCAACACCGTCCACTGGTCCATACCCAGCACCTGGTGCTGCACCGTGTATGTCAAGGAGTCTGGGTCTGCCAGGGGGAGGTGGCTGCTAGAGGCTGACATGGCTGGGATGTCACACACACACACACTCCCGCCCCCACAAATCGGCTGGTCTGGGACCCTGGAACTCATTAGTCTGTTCTGGACCTGTGTCAGTTTCTCCTGTTGTTCCTTGTCTGCCCTTCCAACCACAAGCCTTGCCAGGCTCTGGAACCACAAGATACCAGGTATGGGGTTCAGGTATAGGCACAGGGGCTTCCTACCTTAGGCAGGGAAACTGAGGCATAGAACAGGAAGAGAGAAGGTATCCCCAGGATCACAACCCAGGCAACCAGTACCTCACAGAGGCCACAGAAGAGAAGGGAACGTGGTGGCACCCCACGCCCCCTTCATCCATGGAGAGAAGACAGAACAAAGCTGCCTCCTGGCCTTGCTCCCAGCCCTCCTTCCACTTGGACCCAGCCCACACCTTCTTGGGGCCTTGTTCTGCCACTCCTGCCCACTGCCTGGGCCTGCCCTGTCCACACCCTCTTCCCACCCTCTCCCCACCCCATAGTGCTGTGTGGCCCTGACCCACCAATGGCCATGTCCAGACTCCTAGGGGGGTTCCATGTGAGTGTGATCATCCTCCCGGTCACAGCTACTACCTGTGGAGCACCATCTGGAGGGCCTGGAACCACATCTGAAAGGCACAAGCCGGACGTCCACTGGGTCCTTTAGAACCCAAAGGCTACACGGGGCAGGGGACTGGGGCCCAGGGGCACAGCCACAGGGGCAGGGCCAAGGCCAGCTGGCTCCCCAGAGGACCACTGCTCACTTTCTTTCCCAGAGGGGAAAGGAGATGGTGTGCAAACTCTATCCACACCGAGCTCCAGAGGCCACCCCACCCCTGCCTGGGCCTGTGGACCCAGCTGACCAAAGTGCTGTCTCACCTGTGACATAGAGGTGGGCATAGCAGGCAGCTTTGCCCAGCTTGTTGGCGATGACACTTTTGTAGACACCAGCATGCTGGGGCCCCACGGCAGGGAACACCAAGCGATGTACATCCCTGTCTGGTGGGGGAGGAGAGTGACACTAGGCCTGAGCCAAGATGATACTTGGAGGGGTGGGCCATCACAGGCCTGCCTTCTCACCCCCACACATTGCAGCAGGGAGGCAAGGGGAAAAGGGTTGGGCAGGCTGCAAGAAGTGTGTTCACAGTGCAGCTAAACCCTGAGTGCAGGTACTTCCAGGACTGGCTTCTAAGTCTACGCCTGCAGCCCTGGCCCCTCTGGAGGCACCATCTGTCTCTTCCTCCAGCACTTCATGTCCACCAATTTATCATCTTCCTGTCACTCTGGTCCACACTCTGCAGGTTTGTACACTTGTTCACTGTACCCCTCATCTCCCCAGCTCTGGGGTTACAACCTCCAGTCAAAGTTCTGACCAGGCTTTGTTCCTAAGGCTCTCTCCCTCAGTCCCCTCCTCTCCATGCCCACTGCCACCACCCATCCCATTTCCAGCCAGAGCCTTGACAGTCCTCTGCCAGTGTATCCACACTCTGACAATGGCACATCTGGGTGAACAAATCTGTCTTAGAAGAAACACAACCAGGATGCTCCTTAGAAGAAAGGATGAGGGAGACTCTGGTTCACTTACTCTGGACACCTCCTCAGGAAAGACCAATTTCTAGGAAAGAACCTCATGTTTGGTAAACAGAGGGTCAGTGAAAATGGGAGAAATTGTCAATGAGATGATCAACACCACAGCCACAGCAACGGACTCAAACATACCACTGCTTATGAAGATGGCACAGGACTGGGCAACGTTTTGCTGTTACACAGAAGGTCGCCATGAGTCAGAGTCGACTCAATGGCCACTAACGACAGCAACAGCTACATAGCAGATGGGGGCATCCCAAGCCCTTAGCTCAAACTTCCTTCCAGCCACATCTCCTGCAGCCCCCTTCCTCCCTTATTTTGACCCTGACAAACCATCAGGTCCCCAAACAAGCCAGGTAAGTCTCACCTCTAGGTTCTAGCTCACAAAATTCCTCTCTTCTCTATAAGTTTATGTGAATGATCAGAATTCCCAGGTATATAGTAGAGCTGACAAGGGGCAAGGTTGTGGTCACTGCTTGGTCACAGCCAGATACCCAGGGGACTGAGTAGTTGAATCTGTGGGCTTGGGACCATAGTCACAGGGGACATCAAACTCAATTGGCATAACATACTATACAAAACACTGTTCCACCTCCTACTGTGGTGAATAGCGATTGGGATCTTAAAAGCTAGCAAGCTGCCATCTAGATGCAACGATGGGTCTCTCCTCGTCCAGAGCAAAGAAGAATAAAGAAAACCAAAATTCATGGAAACAGTCTTAGCGACTGGTACACCATCCAATCTGCAGTCTATAAGACTATGAGACCAGAAGAACTAGATGGTGCCCAGCTACCACTGTCATCCATGTGGAAGGGGATCTATGTAGGAGATCCTTGACAGAGAAGGAAAACAATGTGGAACAAAACTCAAAATCATTTGGAGGAAAAAAAAAAGAGGGGGGGGGACCAGGTTTGCTGGCCCAATAGAGCCTGGTGGAACCGCTGAGACTATGGCCCTAGCTGCCCTTCAGGTCTGGAACTGAACCCACACCTGTGGTTTCCAGCCAAACAAAAGACAGGCATATGAGTTGAACTTTTACCTCAGGTAGATACACTCCTTGCAGAGAACAATCATGGAAGAAAGAAGGGCTGCTTATGCACAGGGAGACAGCTCAGGGGGCAGGAGTGCATGGAGGGATGGACACTGGGAAGAGGTAACTATGGGAAGCAAGTGGGAGGGGAGCTGTTGCATTGTGGTGAACTGTGGTCAATGTCATGAGACAAAGTGTATGTGAACTGCGCTATGGAAAGTGAATTTGCTCTGTAAATCTTCATCCAAATCACAATTTTAAAAAAAAGTAAAAAAAAAAAAAATTCCTCTCTTCTGGAGTGTTCTCTTCTTACTTAAGGCCTCCTTCTCCTTTAAGACTTAGTTTAAGTAAGGGCCAGCCCTGGGGAGGCCCCCTTGACATGTCTCCAACCCCCTCTCCACTACTGTCCCCAATTCCTTACCTAGGACCTCTGTAGTCCTTGTGTCTGTACCTTCACCAGGCACCTGGCCCAGGCTGCTTTGGGCCTGCTTTGTACATGCCACTGACTCTGGCTGGCCTTCAAGCTCCTTAAAGACTAGGCTAACTTTGTTCCAATCAGCCTGCCCCACCAAGCCCAGCAACTTGATGCCTTGCACGCAGTAAGTGCCAAATACACGTTATAAATTATGTTAAGAGTTGTTTGTGCTTAAGTGCCTGCTATCTTCCTGGCCTATCCCATGTACCTGACCTGTATTTTCTCCCACTAATCCTTACAATAACCCCGCAACATTATCCCCATGTTACCAATGAGGTCAGAGACATTAATTGACGTGCCCAAGGTCACAGAGCTAATAAATGATGTCACTATGGCTTCAGGTCCATCTGATTCCAAAGCTCTTCCCCTCTATCTGCTCCCTGAGTGATGATAACACTGTCTCTGGTGGGGATGTGAACAGGAGGCTTGCATTGTCCTCTTCCTCCTCGGAGTTGTCCCCAAACACCCTTCCCTTCTTTGTGCAGTTATCGCCACATGGACTAGTCACTTGTTCATTATCTCTGCTGACACTGTTTATGAGGAAGAGAAGCCAAGGACTGCCACTGACCCCAGATGTGGGGAAAAGCAGAAACGCCAGCTCAGATACTGAGAGAAATGCCCACCCAGAGCCTCAGAGCAGATGAGGAGATAAGAAGGCCTGAGGCTGGGGAAAGTCAGCCATGGGAGAGGGCTGAGGGGAAGGACCAGCCACCAGTGTGGCACTGGAGGTGGGGTGGGGAGAGCAGGGCATGGAGACAGGGGGTGCCCTGGTTAGCATGTGGCTGCCAGAGTCAGTCTTTGCTCACATTTGGGGAAGTCCCTGCACCCCTTTAAGCTTCAGTTTCCTCATGTGTAAAGGGAGATGATAGCCCCTGCCTTACAGGCCTGTGGTGAGGCAGGTTAAGATCATCCCATTAGGCCGTTAGCCATTAGGGCCTGGCACCTCAAAAGCACATAATAAAGGTGAGAATCTGTCATGCTGCAGCTATATTAGGCCAAGCAGTGGGTACACGAGGGTCACCGTGTGGGCACTGTCTGTGGGGGGATGGGTGTAGGTAAACCCTCTCCCTCAAGACTTGGATTCAGGGATAGAGTTGAGATGCTCCCACAAGCCAATGTCCCAGGCTGAGGAGGACAGGTTCCAAATATGTCCCTCTGCATTCTGCCCCACTCCTCCTCCTGTATGTGTGATTCACCAACAAGTATCGACAGAACACTCTCCAACATAGTCCTGGAAGATGAACCCCCTCGGGTGAAGGCCCTCAAAACACACAGTGGCTGCAACAGTGAACTTGAGTACAACAATGATCATGACAACGGCACAGGGCCAGCCAAGGTTCTGCTTCGTTATCCATAGGCTGCTACGAGAACAAGCCTGGACCAAACGTTCTTTGGTGCCAGACACCACCCACACTGGCCTTTTCAAGGAAGTTTCTCCAGGAAGGAGCACTGTGTTATCAACAATGAGGATAATGGTAGCAACGACATCAACTGTACCAATAGTCATGAGATTTAACATTTACTGAGCTCTAGCTCTTGTAGCATAGGGCCTAAGGCACTCAACTGCTAACTAGAAGGCTGGCGGTTCAAACCTGCCAGCCACTCCTCGGAAGGAAGATGGGGCAATCTACTTCTGTAGTGACACTGCCTCGGAAACCCAAGGAGCAAGGAGGGGTCGCTATGAGTCGGGTCCAACTCGATGGCACATAACAACAACAACAACAAGCTCTTGGCCAATCCACAAGATGGACCGATACAGTGGCCTCAACGATGGGTTCAGGTATAGCAAGGATTGTGAGGCTGGCAGAGGACTGGCCAATGTTTCATTCTGTTGTACACAGGGTCACTATGAGTCAGAGCTGACTCAATGGCACCTAGCAACAACAACAGCTCTTGGCCAAAGGAGTTCTGGTGGCATAGTGGATAAAGCATTAAGCTGCTAAATAGAAGGTTGGCAGTTCAAAGCCACCAGTGGCTCCTTGCAAGGACTATGAGGCAATCTACTTTTGTAAAGATTTATAGCCTTGGTAACCCAATCAGGGTCGATATGAGTCGGAATCAACTGGATGGCAGTGGTTTTTTTTTTTTTTTTTTAGCCCTTGGCCAGGTACTGCTGCAAGTGCTTGGCATACATCAACTAATTTAATTCTAACAACCCTACTGACAGACAAGAAAATAGTCCCAGAGAGGTTCTGCAAGTTGCCCACAGTGCCAATGCTGGTCCACAGCAAGCTGTACTGCTTGTCCAGTAAGTGCTAAGGAGCCACCAAGGCCCAGGAGGTGACTGGCCTCTGCTCTGTCCCTCCCTCTGCAGATGGGAGCTACGGCAGCTCGGGAGGAAGCAGTGACCTCACCCTCTCTGGGCTCCCTGACTCCCGATGACCCATCCCTGACCTGTTGAAGAAGGAGACCCTGCAGGTCCCAAGGCAGGCCTGGAGGGCAGGGGAGAGGCCCTGGAGGGCAGGGGAGAGGCGGGGGCGCTGCAAACACAGGCCTTCACGGCACATACATTGCGTCATGCGCCGGTCCTCGCTGCTCTGGATGCGGTGGCCATTGTGGAACCAGCTGATGGTGGGATAGGGCAGGCCGGTCACCTGGCACTCCAGCAGGGCCTCCTTGGCCAGTCCCACCTCCAGGTCCTGCAGCGGCCGCAGGAAGTCAGGTATAGACAGCCGCTCCAGCTCACCCTGCTCCGGCTCCTCAGGGATGGACGGCATCTTCTCCAGCTTCGAGCTGCAAGAGCCATACGCTGCCCAGAAGCTGGGGCCGTACCCCCCACCCTGGGCCGAGCACCGCACAGGCAGCCCCAGCAGCCTCCAGGGGGCTGAATTGGTACCTGGGGCCTGAGGCAGCTGACCGTGGCTCCTCCACGTAGAGCTGGGCCGAGCAGTGGGCCTGGCCGTGAGCGTTGGTGGCACTGACCATGTAAAGCCCCTCATGCTCGCTGCCCACGTGGGTGATGTGCAGTGAATGCAGACCCCCGTCCTGCCGTAGCCTCAGGTTCTCACTCTCCTCCACCGGACGACCTGGGTAGGGACAGAGGACAGATGAAAATCAGGCACAGTAAGGGGCCTGCTTCCGGGCACAAACCACCCCAGCCTGGGCCTTTGAGGTCCCCTAACACCTGCCGTACCAAAGTGAGTCCAGGAGACGGACGGGGGCGGGGTGCCACTGATCTTGCAGTCAAAGCGGGCTGCACGGCCTCCCAGCACCTCCATGTCCTCCAGCAGTCTCGTGAACAGGGGTGCTTGTGAGGGCCGCACTGTCAGCCGGGCGCTGCATGTCAGCTCATCTGGGAGTGGGTAAGAGGTTGGTGCTGGAGCAGTAAAGGCCAGGGAGCCCCAGGCACCCCAACCCACATGCAGGAGAGGGAGGTGGACTGGGAGCTGGAGCCTGGGCAGTAAGGCAGCGGGCAGAGAGCCAAACGCTGGGCCTTCTCTGCAGGGTGCAGGCCAGCAAGGGTGAGTGGCAGGCTGCCACAGTAGGCTGGGGAAATAAATGGAGCCCTGGGCCTGGCCCCTGCTCCTCCCTCCTCACCTCACTTTGTCTATCCAGGATGAAGCCCAGCCCAGCTCTGAGAGAGGCTCCCAGAAGCCAAGCCCACTTCCTCCCCCAGTACCCTATCCTCCCTGAATTCCCAGGGAGTGCCTGGGGCATGCCCACTCCCTCCCACCTGCCTCAGACCTGGGGCATCTGACTCTTTGCCTTACTCTATAGTCCCGCTAAAAATCTCCTGTGCTCATCACCTAACCTGGGGAGATAGGTGTCATTATCTCTGCTCTTAACGAGGACGACCAAGAGGTCAGAGATGCTATTAATAATAATAATGGCTGACGTTCATTAGGGGCTGCCTTTTGCCAGGTGCTGTGTTCTTTACATACATTAACTCATCAATCCTGCCCATCACCTTACAAGGTAAGGATAATAATCACGAGCCTTCTTTACAGACAGAGATGAACGGTGCAAAGCTCAGAAAGACGAAGTGACATGGCTCATAGATGACAGGGCAAGAACTTAACTTCATGTTTGTTTCCCACACCTCAGTGGACTTGCTCCCTAAGAACAAGTTACACCGATACGGAACTCACATGTGCCAGGTACATCGGAAAGCACTTCCCCCACGGCTGTTATTAGCTGCCATTGAGTCAGTTTCCACTCATGGAGGCCCCATGTGCAGAATAGAACTGCTCCACGGGGTTTTCAAGCTGTGACCTTTCAGACAGAGACAGATTGCCAGGCCTGTCTTCTGAGGCACCTCTGGGTTTGAACTGCCCACCTGTTGGCCAGTAGTTGAGCCCTTAGCCATTTGTGCCACCCAGAGACTCCATGCTTTCCATGTAGTAACTAATTTTATCTCGGCACACCCTATGAGGCAGCTGGACTACACCACCTTCTCCAGGAGAGGAGATCCTGTTTCCTGCCTCCAGCTCTCTGGCAGCCTGGGTGATCAGTTACCTTTGGCCGTGCTGAGCTTGCAGGTGTAGATGCCACTGTCGTCCTCGTGCACGGAGGTGAGCAGCAGCTTGCATTTCCGGCCGTCGAAATGCATCTTGCATTTGAGCAGCGCGGGCTGCAGCAGGCGGCCGTGGCACAGCCAGTCCACCTCCACGTCGGCAGGGCCCGCCACCAGGCACTCAAACAGCGCCATCTCCCCGGCCCCCACGTCCACGTCCTGCAGGGGAGCCAGCACGGCCAGGGACCGGCTTTCAGGGTGTGCTGGGGGGAGAATGGCGACGGGTGGCACGCACAGAGCAGAGACACACAGGGCGAGGGAGACACATACATGCACACACAGAGAGACAGACACAGAGAGAGAGATGCATTTTGTTCCCCTGGAGACAGGGAGAGCCTGCTGGTTGGGCCAGGACGGCAAGGGGCTCCCAGGCCTGGCTGGCTTCAAGATGGCCACCTACACCGGGCCGGGGGTGGGGGGTGGTCGTAGTGTGAACTCTTGGGAGGCAAGAGCGAATTGAAGGAGAGGAACCCTAGAGGGCCACATGGGGGCAGAATCAGTCGGCGGCGGCGGGGGATAGGGGGAAACACACAGTACACCAGCTGGGTACAAACTGGACTTTATTTGAGCTAAGAAATAGGGGTTTCCAAATATCCCCATACCCACTCCAGCAGCACCCCCAGCCCTGTGCTACTCTCTCATCCCCAGACACAGCCTCCCCAGCACTGACAGTGAACAAGGAGGGCCCAACAAATGCCCCTAAACCTGCCAGGGCCTGGGAGGATGCTGGCCAGGGCTTGGCCAGGCCTCCTCAGCTGCCCAGAACCCCGGGGCCTCTGGCTTTTGATCCCTTGTAGAACAGAAAGTGGTGTGCCATTTGAAACCCACTTCTGGAATGGTCAGTACCCCTGCCTCCCTCTTCAGGAGTGGCCAACGTCCTGCCCCACTCCCTATGAACCCCTGCCCTTCTGGACCCATCTACCCTGTGGACATCACGCCCTACCACGGTCCCTCTGTGTCTCACACAGCTGCCTCAAAGGCACCCTTCCCTGACTGTCACAGACGCACAGACAGACAAACGGACAGACGGACAGTGGCCTGTAGCAGCAGCACATGCGCTCACTCGGTGCTCCCCTGCGGGGAGGGGCTGGGGGGGTCTTGATACCCCTCATGGTTTCCCCTTCCCAGCACTCAGTCCATCTGGGGGCCTCCCGGCCTGCCCAGCCTTATGTCCACTTGGGGAGGGAGGGCCCACGGGGGCCCATGGGCTATCCCAGGGGCTTCGTGGGGTGGGAAGGGGAGGGGTGGCTGGGATGGGGTCCGGGCCGGCAGGCCGGCTGGGTCTGTGGGCAGGAGGCAGTGAAACACAGCGAGGTCCGAGGTGCCTGAGACAGGGGCGCGGCTCGGAGGGCAGCGGGGGGGAGCGCAGGCGGGCCCCCTGAGCTCACTCGCCTGTGTACAGACAAAAACCTCAGTCAGCAAGCGGCAGGTTAGTGCAGCACACGCACACAGGCACGCAGACCTGGCTAGGACCCCTGGGGAGAGCAGCCTCAGACTGCCAGGTGGCACCATCACTTTCCTTCCCTCAGATCAGCCCTGTGGGGGAAGCCGCCAGCCGGCGATTGGGTCCCCAGGGTTTCTGGGCAGGCAGAGACCCTGGGCAACCAGGGCAGAGGCATTCAGAGGCATCAGGAGCACCCCGAAGCCTGAGGATGTTGGGAGGAATTCCCAAGAAAGAGAAGCACTAAGACATGGGTTAACACCGCGAAGCAAGGCAGAGGCGGGCTCTGGAGGCCAGGAGCAGGCCCAGGGTGGGGACTGAGTGAGGACAGGCCAGAGAACTTGGAAACCAAAAAGGTGGCCACACAGGAACACAGGCAGGTGTCTTCGGGTGGGGCCTAGTAGACGGGACCAGAACATTAAGGTTCCAGCTGGTTCCTGGGGCTATCTTGGGAAGCTCCCAGAGCTGGCCCTGGCCATGCTTGAAGGGACTAAGCCTCATGGGAGGCAGGGATGGACAGTGGCTGTTTGAGGAGCTGAGGAAGTTCTCAGCACTGAGCCATCCACAGGGAAGAGTGAGGTGGAAGGCACAGCAAGTAACACCCCTTGGGGAGAAGAGTCCACACCGTGGGGATGGCCTGGCTAGATCCTATCATCCCACTGCCCAAGAGAGCCCCATCCTTGAGGCCCCCGATCCTGGGGCCCAGCCCTCTCTACATTCCTTGGCTGTGCTCACCCTGGTGCCCCTGAGATGCACCATATGCCCAAGTCACCCCCAAATCCCCTCCGAACGGGTCCAGTCACCAGACTCTTTCCGCTGCTACCACCCAAACCACAATAGCTTTTGCACAGCAATGGGTGGGGAAGAGGCAGGTATGGAGGTGGGGGAGAACAGGGTGACAAGGCTTAGAAGAAAGAGTGTGGGGGGAGGATGGTGGCGGTAGGAAGCAGGGTCTCTGCCTGATGTCTGAGGCAGGCATGATCAAGCAAGAGGGCAGTACTGTAAGCACTAAGCAAACAGTACTATTTGCTGTGTGGCCTTGGGCAGGTCACTTCTGCTCTCTGGGCCTCAGTTTACTCAACTGCGATATAAAGAGCAGGACTCGGGAACCTCTAAGGTCTTTTCTGTCTGGCATTCTCTGAGGTTGTGTGAGAGGTGACAGTAGGGGCTGGGAGGGGGCTGGGGCCGGAGTGGAGCTGCGCTGGGTTAAGGGACTCACCTCGGACCTCCAGGCGGGCCTCACACTGCCGGGCTCCATACTCATTGACCGCTTTGCAAGTGTAGAAGCCAGCATCGCCCCGCTCGGCCGCCAGGATCCGCAGCCGGCACAGCCCACCCTCTGCCTCCTCTGCGAAGCGCCGCTGGTCTGGGCGCACAGGCTGGCGGTTTCTCAGCCTGCCAGAAGGGCAAGAGCTCAGGGCAGGAACAATGCAAGAGCCCCACTCGCAGGGAAGCAGGGTTCCACGCAGGCCTTCACTCCTGTGCACTCACTGCCCACGACCCCCCCAAGTCTGTCCCACCCTCACCACCCCTGGGTTACAGGGCCAGGGTGTCACCTGACTCTGCCATCCCCCATCCAGGAACTTCCAGATCACTTGTGCCCATCTAGACCTCTTCCTCCTCGGAACCCCACCACACTTAGAGCAATTCCCTCCTGTCTTTATTTATAACTGATAGACAGCGTTCCCGCTTCCTAAAAGGGGTAGGAAGCAACTTACAATGTTAAAAAAAAAATCACATTGAGAACCAGACAATCATTTAAAAATGAAAAACAGAACGCAAACCAATAAAAAATAAGTAGCTCAATAATGGATGTTCCAGGCCCCTGGGATGACTCCAGCGCTGTGGCCGAGACCCATGTCTGACTCTGGGCATCCAGCAGCTCGGTGACAATCATGGTTGTGCCTAACCCGGGGCTGGGCACAGCCCTCCATCCACCAATGGGGATGGCCAGGCACCCTTCTCACGAGTGAGAAGATTTCTGGTAATTCATCCAAATGAACAGAGATGAGCCTTTGGCACCCAAACCCTGTCCCCAGAAGGGGATGTGTTGCATAAGCCTGAGATGTCAGATCAAGGCGGAGGGCGTGCTGGGAGAGTGGTGCTATGCATCCGGGGGTCCCCATGGCCAGGGCTTTCCTAGGGAAGTACATAAGGGTCCACTTCCTTCTATCATTCATTTTCACCCAAAGCCATGCCTCATGGGGCCAAGCCTCCTTGGGGGCGGGGAGTTGCACTCACCAGGAGACCACAGGCTTGGGCTCCCCCTGCACTCGGATGCTCATAGTGACATCCTGGCCTTCTCTTACCGACTGGTCCATGAGTGAGACCTGAAGGGGGACCCCAAAGTGTCAGGGAGGCAGCAGGATACCTCCTCTGGCTCTGGAGGAGTTAAGGGATCTGAGACAGAGGCTGCTCATGCCCAGTCTGACCCCCTTGAGCTCGGTGTAAGTAGTGTTAAAGGGCAAAGCTCTGGGCCTGTGCTGGGGCCTGGGTTTCAAGAACAAGGGGGCACACAAAGGCATAGAGCCTGACCTTGAAGGTGGGGGGTGCCTTGGAGCCAGTGTCAGGAGAGCGGTGGTTCTGGCTGGGACTGAGCTTCATGGTGGGGGTGGGGGACCAGGTCTCCCCAGGCTCCGGAAACTCCTCTGGGGGACTCAGGTACTCCTCGTCAGAGGTGATGGGGCTGCTGAAAGGGGACGAGGACCCACCTGGAGGAAAGACAGTGGCTCAGAAAGAGACGTCTGGGGTGGAGGGGGACAGAGGGACTGAGAAAGCTGGATTGATGGCTCTAGGGCACCACACCACACACACCAGGGCACCCCATCACTTGCTATGTGACCCGGGTCTCCAAGCTTCCTTTCCCCAAAACTCTCCCAACATTGACCCTCCTGGTCCTGGGTGAGGAAAGCACAGGGAATGGCCAGGGACAAAGGACTCAGCAGAGGGGCCCTTCCTCAGCCCTGTGGGAGACTAGAACCCCACTGGGGCAAGGGACCCACATTCCTGAGGCCCAAACTATCAACTGCAGGCTCCTAATGCGGGTGGCTCAGGTCTCTGGGACCCCAGAGTGGCACAGCCAGTACACTCATTTCTTGGGTGAGCCGAGCCTCGTACAGAGGCACACACACCCCAGGCCCCATCCCAAGCGCAGTGCCAAGGCCAATCAGGCGGTACTGTCCAGCCTGCCCTCCCCCCCTCCCTTCTCAGCTTCCTGCCCCAGATATCCCAGGGGCACCTGTTGGCCCCAGCCCTAGAGCACAGACCCTAAAACTCTCAGGGAATGGGAAGGCAGAGTTCGAGCCATCCACAGAGAAGGGAGGCTCAGCCTGGGACGAGGGGGGGCACCAGCGTCCGCCCTGGGGGTGGGGTGTCCCCAGGGCCCTGACGCCCTCCCCCGCAACTGGCCAGGGGCCCAGGCTTGCGGAGCTGGCTCCTCTCCAACTGCCAAATACAGACATGAATCCTCCACAGCCCCCGGTCCCTCCTCCTGGTTCCCCCAGACCAAGCCCCTGTGGCCCAACCCCCGGCAGGGCTGTACCCCAACTCACCCCAAGACTCTGCGCACAGACCCCAGCCTGCGCCTGTCCTGAAGGCTCTGCCCTGGCCCCAGGCCCTCCTGCTGCCTGCTCACCGCCCACCCCGTCCCGGCTCCCCAGGGACAGAAGCCCGCCCGCCCAGCCCCACTTCTGCTTCTTGCTGACCCTACGGAGCCTACGCACGCACCGCAGGAGGGGGTCTGGGGGAAGGGCAAGAGCCTGAGGAGGGGGAGGAGGAGGGGCTGGGTGGCAGGCAGCTGGCGGGGCGGGCAGGGGAAGGTAGTGCTGCTGAGACCACAGGCAGCCTGGCTGGAGGGGAGGGGCGGGGAGGGGCGGGGCCGCGGCTGTATTTAGCCTCCCTGCTCATTCCCCAGCCGCTGGGTCTGCCTTTTCTCTCCTTACAGCTCTGGACACTGACAAGAGCAAAGTCCCCGAGCAGCATCTCAGGGTGCAGGGGCCTCAGACCCCAGGGGTAGACGGGAGTGACACTGCACCTAGGTGTTCAAGATGCCTGCGCTGGCCCGTTAGTGTCCACACATACTACCAGGGGAGGGACCAGTACAAATGTCCCCTCTGATGCCCCTGGGCCTGACCAAGCCACCAAGATCCCTACCCTGGCCACTGGCTGAATCTCCAGTTCCAGAGCTCTAAGCCATGCCCTGTGTTCTCAGGGCTGAGAGACAGAGCTGTTGGGACTTCTGGCCTCCTTTCCAGAGTTACCTACCTCCCTCAGCCTAAGGGGGGCGACAGAAAGGCCCAGAACCCCACCTCTGCCTCCCGATTCTTCCATGATTAATTCGGCCCAGCAGCCATTCCAGGGCACTAAATCCGCCCCTCCTACGAGCATACCTGTTAGCAACTTGCCCCTCACCCCATCAGTTCCAACCAGGGTCCATAGCCAGAAGAGGGTGCTACTTCCCCTTGGCAACCCCTCACAACCAGCACCCACTTGTATTTAGGTCAAGGAAGGGACTTGGAAGTAGAGCAAGCAAGAAAGGCAGGTGCTGGAAAGCGGTCACATGTCCTTCTCCTTCTTCCTATCACTTCCACCCACCAGGGCCACATTCCCAAGATCTGACCTGTGTTCCCAGCATTGCCTGTGAAGAAGGAGGGGTGGGACCAGGCAGAGGAGGAGGGCCCACCACTCAGGCTGGCTGTCTTGAGGTTAGGGCACCATGAGCATGGGCTGGGCATGGGTCCCCATCTGACCCTGAGGGCACAAGCTAGCCCCTGGAGGTGGGTGCCCTGCCCACCCCTGGTGGAGCCTGGAATACTGCTCCAGGGTCACCTCCAACTGGACAGCGCTGAGGAGGCTCGCTGGCTCAGGGAGTGAGCACAGAATGAGATTAAACAGGATCGGCAAAGTTTGTGGGGCGTTTCAGAGACCCCTGGTGGTGGCTGAGGTAACAGCACTCTGGGGGCATCAAGCCACCAAGGGAGTGGAGGTCCTCAAGCCCTCAAAAGGGTTCCTCAAAAAGGGGAACTATCAGGGCAGCCCAGGCAGAAGCTTCAGGCCACAGAGGGGCGGAACTCTGTATCCTCAACATTGTGTGGCCAAGGAGGCTAACAGAGGACCCTCATCACTGGCTTCCAGAAGCTTCCACATCAGGCTTTAGTGTTCACCTTCCACCTCAAGCTCTCACTGTGGGAAACAGTTACACCAGCCAGGGAGAGGGAAGACGTGCCCCCTAAACCTGACATGCATCTATGCACAGCCAGCCCTGACCAAGTCGCCATGTAAGTACTGCCTCCTCACACTTACACTCTGACCCCTACACACGCTTGGCTACTAACCAAAAGGCTGATGGTTCAAATCTACCCGGAGATGCGCTGGAGAAAGGCTTGGCTATCTACTGAAAATCAGCTACTGGTTGCCCTACAGAGCACAGTTCTATTCTGACCCACATGGGGCTGCTGTGTCTCAGAACTGACTCAATGGCAACTGGTCGGGCCAAAATCACTTAATAAAAATAGCAGTGCTCACTCCCGTGGCTTAACTCTCAGCCAAACAATCGACAGGCCTAAGAGCTGAACACCTGTACCAGGGAGATGCACAGTCAACCGTGGGAGATCAGAAGGGCAGCACCTGCACAGGGAGAAAGGTAGGGAGGCAGGAATGCGCAGGCAAGAAGGACACAGGTAAAAGGTAACCATAGGGAGGAGGTGGGAGGTGAGATGTCACACTGTGGGAAACGTAACCAGTATCACAAAACAAAACGTATATATGAACTGTTGAACAATGTAAAACAAACCTGCTTTGTAAAATTTCACCCAAGTCACAAAAAGCTAAAAAAATAAAAACAGCACAGCTTTGAACCAGTCAAACAGTCCAGTCATCGCTGACAGAAACAAGGTAGTGGATGTGCTACCTAGTAGCCAAGTCTCTGGCAGCGCGGATTTTGACCTAAGTATGAAACAGGCAGCAGTGCCCTGTTCAAAGATGGCAGCCAACACACACTCAAAGCAGCCCATTCAGTTGTCATCTTTGAACTGGTTCAAAGCTCTGAGAAACAGTGGTGTTGGGGAGCATACAGCAGGGCGGCCTCCTTGCTCGGAGCAGTGCATTCCGCTCGGTGCAGTTCCTAGACCCTCAGAGGCACCCTCATGACGCACCCGAGCAGCTACATGTCAGGCATCCAGTACATGAAAAGCGTCACACAAACACTTCACACCAGAGGTTCTCAGATTGGTTCCCAAATCCCCACATCAGAACTACTTGGGAATTTATTTAAAATATCAATTCCTGGGCCTTACTCAGACCTCAGAATTGTATTTCTTGAATAAGGGGTCAGGAAACTGCATTTTAAAAGGTGTTCCAGATGATTCTTATGCACGTGAAAGTTTAGGGACCACTACTGATCCTCTAAGGAGCTCTGGTAGCATAGTGCCCAAGGCACTTCACTGCTAACCAGAAGGCTGGCGGTTCAAACCCACCAGCCACTCCTCGGAAGAAAGGTTGGGCAATCTACTTCCGTAGTGATATTGCCTCGGAAACCCAAGGAGGGGTCGCTGTGAGTCAGATCTGACTCAACAGCACAGAACAATGACAGCAGCAACACTGATCTTCTGTCCTGGAAGAAGTGCAGCAGGAATGCTCCTTGGAAGCGAGAATGGCCAGACCTTGCCTCACCTACTTTGGTCATGTTGTCAGAAAGGGCCAGTCCCTAGAGAAGGACATCATGCTTGGTAAAGTGGAGGGTCAGCGAAAAAGGGGAAGGCCCTCGACGAGATGGACTGACACAGTGGCTGCAACAATGGGCTCAAGCAGAACAAGGACTGTGAGGCCGGCGCAGGGCTGGGCAGTGTTTCGTTCTGTCGTACACAGGGTCCCTATGAGTCGGAGCCTCATGGAAGGACAACTCAATGAGGTCGTATCATTGAGTCTTACCTCACTTGACCATTAAACTTCAGAGCAAGGGTCTGAACCTAGGAGCCTGACTCCACAGCCCATGTGTGTTCCTGTGCTGTGTGGCACTTACCTTGAGCAAGGCCTACAATTTGGTGGCAGTGGATCTCAACTCCTACTGTGCCCCAGAATCACCTGGAGGGCTTGTTGAAACAGGGTTGCCAGCTCTCACTCCCAGAGTTTCTGAGTCAGTCGGTCTGGGGTGGAGCTGATAATTTGCTTTTCTACCATATTCCCAAGGTGATGAGAGAAGGATGCTGCAGGACGCTGAGGACCATGGCTCCAGGGTCTCCTCTGTTATCGCACCTTCACTCATAGGCAGACTGTCATTACCCTTTGCAACGGAGTGTCCCACCCAGCCACTGATCTCTACCAACCACTGCCACCTCACACACAGCCCCTGACTGCTCAGGAGGGCCTAGAGGTATGGCCACAAAGGCTTCAGAGTGGGCAGGCACGGTGGTGTCCTTAGAGGCCTTCTGGCTGGTAGGGAAGATGAGACGAGGTAGGCACAGAATTGACTATAATAGTGAACAGAAGTGATAAGCCAGAGAGGAGAAGATAACGGCCATGGGAGTTCAGAAAGCAGGAGATTAGCTGTGGCTCAGGGAAGACAAGGGAACTGGAGGGAAGAGGTGGTATTAGAATCAGAGTTTGTTTTAAGAGTGGAAAATGGAAAGGCATTCCAGGCAGAGAAACTACATGAACAAATGTTCAGAGGCAAAAAAAAAAAAATTGTATATGTATATATCATGTCTGCATATAT